TGTAAGAAGAGATTTTTGAGTCTTTTTTTCTTTTTTCATACTAATTCTCGTGTATTGTTCATGACGTATCTGTTTTTTAAGGCTTCTAAAATCAAATAATACGTTGAGAGTCATATTTGGATATTTTTTATTTTAGAATACATCATAATAACGCTAGTATTCCATGATGTTTTGCTTTTCTTTTTGTTTAGGTTCTTTTCTTGTTTGTGTTCTTTGCCTTTTTCCAGAGGTCCAATGTCCTTTTTTTGGGTTTTTTGCTTATGGCTTGGAAATCATAACGTCTGGTAGGCATTACACACGGCCACGGAAACAAGAACGCGGCAAAACAAAACGTTTAATCAGTAGAACAATAGTTCTGCACGTCCAATTTAAACATAAGTCATTTCCAAACTTCTTCTGCCTAGCAGCCACGGTGGAAATTTGGTAACGCTGAAAACGGAAGCCTGACTCCAAATTCCTCGCGTTTTTTGTTTAAACTTGACTTGTCTACACATATCAGCCTAAAGGGGAACTATGGCGCTGTTAGACGGAGACAGTAATAGGCAACGAGCTTTTCACCAAAATCTCCAGGGGAATGGAACTTTGTTTTTTAATTGACGTTATCCCAGGTGTCGCCCTCGTTAAATTCTCAAGAGGGTCTGAATGAGTTAACCGACTAGCTACAAGTAAACACTGAGTAAACAAGTAAACACTAACCGACTACCTTCATGGTCCGACATTATCGACATTTTCAATCAGAAGGAAGAACATTCTAGCTTAGGAGGTAGCTACTTTAGATTTAAGATTCGGTTAAATTCTAGAATTTCTTGTCATCAAATGTATTTTATGGCCGAGTAGGCGTGCGGGCTCAATTCCAGAACAGCGTCCGGTACTCGAGGTTGCTCCTATGTATTACTTGACAAATGTGAATAACTAACCTGAATTTTTAATCATTGACTGAGATTAACCAACACAGATCGAAAATTTTAACCAACTACCGACAATATAAAGAAATTTTAACTGACTACTGATTTGAGGAATAAGGATCTCCCCCCACCCCCCATTCAGACTCTTCCCCACTGTCATCAAGCAACCCAAAAATAAGAATAGCAAAGTTAATAATTTAATGAAGAGACATATTTTGTACTTAGCGCTCACTTAAGCCTGCTGTCCAGCGGCGTACTTAATATAAAATCTGTTCTTAGTGGTTACGAAATCAGCTTTCCAAGTCATTCGTTTAGAGTGGATTGCAAGTTAAATTTCGGGCAAAGTCTAAGTCAAGAGTGTGGTACGTAAGTCGATGATGTTCAGTAATGTAATCACTGACATCACTACTTTTTCGTCACTCGTTTGTGTTCGTGTCAACAGATGTCAACCCTTGCCAGCTCTCTACCAACGACTTTTCACGACATAAATATCACAAACGAATCAAACAGAGCGACCTCACTTTACTGACAATCCAGTTTTCGTGGTTTGCTATTTTGATTTGGAAATCTTTTGACCCAGTCGTATTGGACCTATCGGACCTATCAGAAAATTATGGCCCTCGCAAAAGAAGAAAAACAGCAAACTGATTTAGTATTAAAATTACCGGTTGTTGGACCACCTTGGTTGTATAAAGCCAATAGACCGCCCTTTCTATCGGTTTACCGGCGTAATAACTTGCGCGGGATGTTAGGAGAACACATAACAAACTTTTCGAGTTTTCTCCCAACATCCCAAGTGGGTTATTACGCCGCTAAACCGATAGAAAGTGCGGTCTATTGGTCTGATAAGTACGGGTTGACCGTTGTAATAGACGATAGGTTTTGACCAATCATGGCGCTCGTAGTATCTCAGTTACGTTATAAAATTGGATCCGATCAAATCTGGTCAGGTGACCTGCTAACACTGAGACAGCAGCTGGGGGAGGGAAGAGATTGGTGAGAGACAGGGTAAGTCTTACGCGACCCTTTCCCCCACGTCCAGAGGATTAATCTGCGTTTTTTTCGGCCCCAGATTCCTCAGATCGTGGGAGAAAAACCAGGGGCTAACTGATACAATCCTCCTCAAAATGAATTTTCTTTCAACCTCCTCCTACTCAAGATGAAAACAAAAAAAAGTTGAAACTGGATTCTAATGTCCGTTTGTAAAAGGCGCAAACAGTTCACTGATCCGGCTTTCAAAAAACCGCAGAGTATATCGTTGTCTCCCAAGCTCTCCGCCCCAGATTATAACGTCGTTAGTAAAGCCTCGTCGACAATTGCCTTTGTCATGTTTCCACTTGTCACTTGCTCAGTATCCGCTTGCAGCAGATAAAACAACTTATACCAGGTATCATCTACCCTTTGCCCTCTACGTTCCTCAACCTCACGAACGGAATGAATTACTCACGAATCGTAAAATGAATGATCATCCATTTGACGTTCATGAAGGAGCTGCACACTACCACTTTCCTCGCTTTTATACAAGAGAAAACCAAACAAAAAAAAGACAGTCCTCTTAGCAAAAACCTACTTGACGCTCCTGTTTATGTGAAGAAGAAAATCCAAACAAATTTATCGAAACCACGACAAAGAAAATAGAACATACAAAAGAACATGGTATTCATGACGAATGACCTCACGTAGGTGGCTGCTCGGCCAACAGACCAGACAGTAATTCTTTGTTCCTTAAACTGAATAAGTCATTTATTTTAATTTCATTTAATCATCTATCTAATTACCTTTTTTTATTCATTATTATTGAGTATTGGGGGTTGCCTGTAGAAGTCTCTCTGCATTAAGAAAACAGTTAATATGCAACGTGCACTATTTCTGGTCGTTTATGTATGAAATAATCCTCTCGTGATTATCAATGTGCACTCCGCGCAGGAAACCACGGACAGAGGCAAAGGGGGATAGAGACCCTGGGTACACGTTGCAACTGCGTCATGCGCATTTCCTCTCAGCAGAGGGATAGTGTACAAGTAAACTTATTTGATCCGTGATGCATCAATTTCGGTAGTTGGCTCGGTTAGAATCAGAAATAATGTCTACTCTTTGTGGAGCAGCCTCAGAGTATAAAGGTACTCACTCTTCGCTCGACAAAACCATCAACACTCTCCTTCCTTCTCCTGTCTGCCCCCTCCCCTTCGGCTAGTTGAGTTTAGATCCTCTTGCTTTAATGGCTAAGCAATTCACTCTCAGATCTCATAAGGAATTCTCCTTAGTGTCTGCCATACAATTCTCATGATGCAAATTCGGAGAATTTGGAATTGGATCAACTAACAATCTCACAATCGACGTTTTTCTTCATTCTCATTACTTGTCTTCTGAATATTGTGTTGGTATTGCAAGGAAAAATTCTGCCTTGGTTACTCATGGGAGTTAAAATATAGTGTCATGACTGACATGGTTAAAAATAGTTCGGATTAAGTTCTTGCTCGTGTTCTGCCGGTTGGTCGAAACAGATATTTGATACGCATGCAATCAACACGGTTTATTTTCGTGATCATCCGTGAAACAGTGGATGTGGAGGCTGGCCACTTCTACGCGCTTAAAAAATTTTTTTGTCTTTTGTTTTACTAGTGGAGCCTTCTTAAATCATTAACGAATAAGCTGCGAGAAAAAAAATTATAATCACCACGGAAATACGTAGCCATCAACTGCAGCCTCTAACAGTCAGCAAATTATTTGTGACTTCACTGCGTTTAAGATATGAAACCTCGTCACCGGATAGGCACAGTTGAACCTGGCGTAAATAATATAATTTTCGACGCCCCCTGAATATGTCAACATCACATATCAAATGTAGTGTTGTCACAGTGAGCAAAGCCATTAGACTTCAATGGAAAGCATTTCGTGGAGAAAAAAGAGAACATAAAAAATAGTTGTCTTATTAATACCTGTTCTCTGAGGCTACGATATCTTTCCAGCTCAACAGGTAAGCCAAGCCACTGTTTAATGTAATCAAACAAGTCACGTTCATTAAAATTGTACATGTGGTAGCATTCGATAAATGCTATATTAATTGAGTTTTTTTTCCCTCCCACGCCTAAGATGGTATCAAATGAGATAAAGCGAAGGTCAAAACTCGTTGAGTTGGGGAAATTTTATATTTACCAATGCAACGATGAGATAAATTTTTCTCTGGCCTAATGATTTCTACACTTCCCATGCTTCATCGGAATGTTTCTTTCCAATGGTGCAAGGACACAGTGATGGGGATATGATTATCTCGATCGAATATTAGATGCAAGAGATGTTACTAAATCGAAACTTAACTTCTATCCAATTAATCGATTATGTCAGCTTCAACCCCGATTACTATGTCACTTCAGCGAAATAGCTTTCTATTAAAAGGAACAGTTCGGTGGCTATCCATAATAAAGATGTTGCGAAATCATCTACCTATGTGAGGCAACCCGCCGCACAATCTTGCCTCTGATTGGTTCGCGGAATACAAAAACATCTCAAAATCGGACCACAAATTTGTAACTTTTTTTAATTTTAGATTTGACTGCCGACCGGAAAATCAGTCATAACAACATTTTCGAGCACTTGCGGGTTTTCCTTGTTCAACAATGCTGCATAAATTGTTAAAATCCGTTGTTCATATGAAATATTGTGACACGGTGAATAACATTACATGGGTTCGTGAAGATGCCAATCTGTCACATGGTTAATTGTAACCAATGATACTGCAGAAAATGTGATTGCATAACCTGTTCAAATGACACATGTCATGGGGTCACGTGATCTTGTTACACCGGCGGCACGTGGCCTTGGCTTTCGCTACGCTTGAAGCTCTATTTGAGGTCAGGATTTCGCATAGCTACGGGATTTTTGCTTCACTTTTTCTGTAATTTCTGCAGCTTCCAGCTGTTTGAGGTGTTTTGCAGTAGTTTTAAGTTGTTTTGTGTTCGAACCGTGTAGTTTCTGAATTTTTTTTTCTGCTTTCGATGGTAGGCCATTTGAGGCGGGCTTTGCTTTGAGTTGCGGTGGAAGACGGGAAGCAGAGGGTCAGTGAATGGATTAAAAAGTTGTTGCCGCGTAAGTAAACCGCCTGGCAGTCAACTACGTGAATGGTTTTCCGCTTTTCCGTCGTTTTCCGTCGCCGTAAAATATCAGAAACAGCCTTTGTTGGGTATATGTTACCTTCTTGTCAGCTCTGCTGCGAACACAACACTCTATTGTAGTGCACAAAATATTTTATCGTAAGACAACTAAGCTCAACAAGTCTTGACCAAAATATTTTTGGCGGTGCTGCAAGAGGGGCTTCAGCTGCATCGTGAATCTCCAGTTTTGCGGTGTGTAGTTTTCTGTGTCTTGTAACAGTGTATACGTTAGCTGAGCAGAAATCGTCAACACGATTGCGTGCATTCAGCTCTTGATCCAAAATTCCAGTTAGCTGACTAGGTTGCAGACGGGTATCTCGATTTTCGAGCAGTGCATAGTTGAAAGGAAGCTAGTGTTATCATCCTCAACGTGGGAACTTAAGTAGGTTAGCGTTGCTGTTCTGCTTCGGAGTTGATCAAATAGAAAGGGTCATTTACATCTGTTGTTCGGTTTGCAGATCCAATGCACCAAATGCTTACTGTCGTCTCTGTTAAATTTTACTTGCTGTAGATCTCCTCTGACCATAGTAGAGCACAATAGGACGTCTCTTATCGAAAAACAACGCTGTGTCTTGGACAATATTATTCTCTCTTAGGTGAGTATGTCATGAATTTGTGTAGGAACTATTTTTTAAAAGTTTAAAATGCAAACAAGTTTCCGTTAACACTCAGTTGATCCTTCATTGTGTTCTCAGGGCCATATCACAGCGTCTGTCGATCCGTTGGATTAGAAGTACTTGATCTCTGTGCGCTTCTTACCGAGTTAATTTAACGGCACATTTCGAAGTTAAAGGTTCTTGCGTACAATTTACTAGCTTTTTGAATTACAGGTCTTTGTGGGAAGAAAATTTACATCTGGTAGAATAGAAAATACACACCTCGCATGCATGATAATGAAGTCATGGCGTGTAAAAGCTTAATGGCGCACCGAAATCTTCCTCGTATTCCCTTTAAAAGAGCGTTGTATAAACGATTCAGAAGGCAAATTACATATTTTTACTTTTTTATGCACATATGATGTGAAGTGTATCGCTGGAATATTTATATATTGATATTTATGTTGATGCCGATGTTGACGCCTGTAAACCACGGGTACGGGTTGGGCTTGAAGGTGGACAGCATCGTGCACTGGAGTGATGACGCGATTAAAGGAAAATTGTTTCAAAAGATTTGTCAGGCAAATAAGTCCCGCAAACTAAGGAGGCAAGAAATGGCTTTTTAAAACTTGGTGAAGTTCGTGGCTTTCATATCACCCTCGTAATGGTGTAGAACCATACACCAGGGCTGCTGCGACTGTGGGTGCTTTTGGACGCTCACAATGTGAGAGAAAATAGCTAGCGCCTTAAATTTGCGTCTCTTTTAAGTGGTTAAACGAGTTGTACACCCCTCAGTTCCATTTTAAGTCCATCTTTCTTTCCAAAAGGGAGACCCATCTCTTTTCTTAAATATCGTGACTTGACTTTTGAGAGAAATTAACAAGCACTTTCCTTGATGATATGACGGTCGCATCATGAAAACGTGGAATAGCATCATATTTCTTCTTAACTTTTTTTTCCTTTCAGGAAACCTTTAAATTATAGAAGAAATTACTTCTATTGAAAATGATATTCGTATCTTCGTTCAATCGTGACTGGATAATCATTTTGATTCCTTGCTATACCTGTTAGTTTTCCTTGTGTCGTGAAATCAACATCTGTCCTATTATGAATTTCAGCAATGGTTTAGTTTTCTAATGGTGATAAGTCTGTTATTATTGTCGTTTTTTTAACTTTCTTGGCCTTAATAACGGTGCATTTTATTTTCCCTCTCCAACAACATCTTGCGTTGAACAGCCCAAAGTGTTGGTTGAGACAAATTTGTTTTAAGTTTTTAAGGGAACTGGAGCATTAGCTGTCTGTTTTATTCTCAGGAAAACTTTTTATAGGCGTGCATCTAGCTTTTCAAATTATAGGTCAAGGATTCAGCTTTGTGCTCTAGGGGAATCCATGCAAATTTGCTCTTCAGGGTGAATTATCATTTTGGATTTAGTCTTCCATGATTTGAATTGCCTAGTTCACTAGCAATCTACATGATGTTAGAAATTTCCTTGAAAACAGGAACCTGGTGGATAATTGTCATAAAAAAAGTGTATCATTTGAATTAGCGTTAGATTTTCTTTTTTTCAGATGACTCACTTTGATATGCAGTGATAATAATTTGCTCCGTAAATTGTTTTTATTATTCTAGTTTTCGAATGTTGTCTTAGTGGGATAGCGCAACATTGCAATCATGATCAGCCTTATAGCACAGTAGAACCTTTTTTTAAAGTGGTCGTGAATATAATTTTTAGTTTTAAGTTTTACTTTTTTGCAGTTGTCAACTTGGCAGTGTGTTGTGTTTGTTTTGCTATAAATCTTCCTTATCTATTGTTTAACTGATCTCATTTGCGGGGTTTTCCCTGACCTTTCAGCTTAACGTATGTTCTGTGATGGAGTACGCCGCACGTGAAGAACCACAAGGGTAGGCCTATGTTATTTGTACATGCGTGTCCAATTGTGTTTTTCTCTTAAAACAACTTATTTTTAGTAAGTGGGATTTGCATTCAGAGAAGACTAAACAGTCTACGGTAGTGTTTTGCAGTTTCGCTTCTGCTTACTCGCAGAAGTTGAACACAAGTCGTACAATTAGTAACTATATGTATTCAATTAAGCGGTCAATGAAACTTTCCGGTGTAACAGTTTGAGATTTTGATGTGATTGTCTTTTTTTTGCTCTCAGTTTACATTCCAGTGTTTGTTTACCCTTTTTATTGAAGCTTTTTGAGAAATAATAGTCAAGTAGACTTTTTTTTGTTTGTGTATCGTGACTCACGTGCTGACCTATGCCAATAATCAAACTAGGGTTCATCCTACTGTCTGATTCTTTTGTCTGGTTCTCAGTGCAGTTCATTTTAATTGTTATCAGTGGTACAAACACTTCCAATTGTTTGTGGCAAAGTAACCTCCTGTGTAGCAGACATCTCTCTGAAATGGTTGTTGACCTAAACCTCTAGGCTATTTCATTACCGTACTATGTTGGCCATCTTTTTGTATGTAAATAATGCAGGTACTTTTCATATAATCGAAGAAATGTTAATTTTCTGTTTTCACTTTGGGTTCACTATTCGGTTGTAACATCAGGTAGAGAGAAAGATTATATATTGTGAATTTTTCTTTGTCCTTGGTATTTCATCCTAGTTCAGTCTTGAATAGTTTCATTTTCTGAACTTGTTCTGTTTATGTGTTCATGATACATTTTTTTTTGTTAGGGCTGTGGGACCCGTTTTGGATCAAGGAGCAGCCCAGGTATGTGTTTATTTGAGTCGGAAAGGTCACCCAGTTGCTTACCATTCATTCCACCAGTTACGTAATCTTTTTTCTTATTTACATGCAAAGCACTTACCCTGTAAGAGATTACAATACATGTGATGAGAAGAGTGCTGTCTAGACTTTTTTAAAAATACCCAGCAGCAGATATGATGCGTGTAAAATTAGAGAAAGCTGTTTTCACAATGACATTATTTAGAGGTTACTCTTTAGAATGGTTCAATAACTTCCATGTGAAGACTTGATAACACGTGCTGTGTAAGCATAATTTATTTTAGACTACTTAGTCGTGTTGAGTTTGCATTTTAAGAGATAACTCTAACAATTGTCATATCCTGTTCTCTTTTGAAGTCCGAATAGGTAATCATTAGCTGTTTTTTGTTTTACGAAGTTATATTACTTTGGCAGATGGCGTAGGCAAGCACCAAATCAGTTAAAAATCAGGGCCTGGTTGTTTAAAGGGTGGATAACGCTATCCAACAGATAAATCTTGCTGCATTGCGATTTATCTGTTAGATAGGGTCATCCACCCTTCGAACAACGGCAGCCAGGTGTTTAAACTTTTTCCAGGGTTAATGATCAGTGAACTTTGTACAAAAGGACTTAAAGAAGAGGTGTATTTATCAGAGGTTTGCCTAAAAGCAATTTTAAAATTATGAGGTATCAAAGTTGTTAAAAAGCTGTCTCCAAACCATGGAAGACAGAAGTGTGAAAGACTGGCATCGCTTTCATACAAGTTTGCATTGACTGACAAATTTTTAAATGTTTTGGTGTTGCTCCTAGTTTCTTGAGCTGATGTGTCTTACAAAATTTTGAAACAATACTAACCAGATCTGTTATCAAAAGATTTTAGCCTCATAGGTATACTTGTTATTTGACTGGTCACATGTTTTTCTTTCTGGGGCTAACAAACAGAAATTGTACAAATGAATATTGTATCTGTAGACAAGTTTAGCAGAATATGTTAGTGACCACATAGTAGCTTTGCTTCAAATTTACATTTCTGTTTTGAAACAGCCTGTGAATGTTATTCATCTCCCACATAGGGAAATAGTCCAGGGGATTTAGTCTGATGATAATTGAACTGAAAAGAGAGATCTGCATCACCAGTATCATTACTCTCATTCAAAATCAACAACCCATTGTACATATTTGTTGGAACCTACATCATTAATCTGAAACTCTGTTGGTCAAATTGCAGACATGAATTTGTCTGAGTGTGTTTGTATTGGCGAGCTGCAAAAAATAGGACCTTTTATGTGAAGTTTGTATTAAAGGTGATTTTATGCCTGAATTTACATTTTTTCAGAGGTGATTAGCCGTACTTTATGCCTGCAGTTGCTACATGTAGATTCGGCATAGTAATAACAAGTTAGTGTTGATTTTACAGGGTATTGGTGGAGATCCAAGCATGTCCATTTCCTAGAGTTTGGTGAATGAAACTGTCTTTTTTTGTTTTTTTTTGTTTTTTGTTGCTGTCCATGTTACTCAAAAATGATTGATGAAATATGATTCTAGAACTGTCAGCTGTAGTCTTCCTCAGAATAGTTGAAAATGATTTTCTCATAATACATCATTGTATGTGAAATATCATGAATGGTCCTTCGCTAATTTTTTTAGACAGTGGTAAACCCTGAATTCCTTTTGCTCAGGCTTTGAGATATGTATGTTGCCAAGTGTATCCGTGAAATTAATTTGCATTGTTGGTCTTGTGAAGGTATAAAAATGAGGAAATCTAGTGCTATATCTTATATTTTAGAAAATATTGATGTATATATTTTGCAATATGATGTCTGATATACCATGTACAATACTCATTGAATATTGTACATATTACCAGTGAAAAAATGCTTGACTCTAACTACAAGCACTATCACATTCAGCCTGGAACTTAAGACTAAGCTTGTTAGTGCAGGTATTTTGTTGTGTTATGCAATTGGATTCCATGGCACGTAACATCCCCTGAGAGTTCTAAATCAGGATGTTTGGGAAATGTCAGTTCATGTGTAGCATTTCAGAATGTGACACATCTTAACTTCTTTTGAAGAACAGTTTAGTTTGTTTCAGAATACAAGTCAGTCTTCTATCTTGGGAATTTAAAGGTCTAAAAGGAGCTAAAATTGTCCCAATCATTAGCAACTGCCTTTTATTTTGTTATCCAAACCTGTGGAAGCACTGTGTTAAAAAACCATGGCACACTTACTTTTCCCTTATGAATTTTCCTTCAAGATAAACCAAATCTGTGTAGCAGTGGTGAAGTTCAACTTTGTGACATTAATTACAATACTGATAGTTTTGAACCTTGGTTTTTCCCAAGGAACATCTTTCAGTTCATTAGTGTTTGAAATTAATTATATGATGATGAGTTACCAAATTGTTACCATTGAAGCCTAAAATGCCTTCCAAGTTAGGCCTTGTACTTAGTGTAAATGCAGATCTATATAACAGACTAATTGTTGGTGTTTTCAAACCTCCTCATTTTTATTAAATGGAAGGTATGCTTCTTTGTTTATTAAGCACATTCCACATAAATTTATATTTATTATTATGGAAGACAGGATAATAGGCCAATTTTGTTGTTTTGATTCACCAATTGAAAATAATTATACCTCTTTTGTATACTTCTGTCGCACATGATGTGGGGTTTTCAGGCAAATGTGTGAAAAGACCTTGCTGAATTCTAGCTCAATAATCACTGTGGTGCCCATAAAATGCATAGTCTATTCACTTAATTATTTTGAAGTTGACACTTATAAGTTCCTGTGATTCACAGGTATTTCAATATGTGTGAAAATTCACGGAAGGCATATGATTTAACTTCTAGAATATAATTCTTTCAGTTAGTGGCTATGATTTTGCCTTTGGTCATCTCTCTAACTAAGCCAAATTCACATAGTGGTTAGATTATTTTTGTTTTTGAAAACTTGTTGCAATTTTGTCAATGCTAATAAGTTTTTCTTTCAAATTGCTGCCACCATAAACCACCAGTCTCCCAGAACAAGTAATTTTTAATAAGTACCATGTTAATCTTATTCTTGCTCTTGATAATTTCAGAAATGTCTCCTTCTTGAGTATTATTTGAACTAAGCTGTGATATTTTTAAACAAAAAAGATTTTGCGAAAGTGAATTCTGTAACTTTGATGTGTTGTTACCAACAACTGAAAGGATTTTCCTTTTGATTTTAAGCTTTGGTTTCAAGGTGATCTAGCCTAAGAAGATTTGCAGAAATTTGCCATTAATATAAGAAGACATATAACGCATTACATACTTGCTAAGGCTAGATTTGGAAGGCATCATGTTCCTTTTTTCTCATTTGATGTTTTTAGTTTTTTGTAAAGCATGAAATATTCATGGACTTTTGTTGATGTGTGGATTTGTGAAACCAAAAGAGCAATCTAATGGTAGGATTTAGATTCAAATGAAAGTTCTTTATCAAATATCGGATGACTTGGAAGACAACAGACATTATTTCTTTGATCATATGGCATTTGTCTGTCAAGAAAAATCAGTTAGAACTTTCTAGACTACTTAAAAGCCATAGTGTTAAATATTTATCAGTAACAGAAGATACATGTTCAGTTTTAACCACCGAGAGATGATCAAGGTTTTGTGTTTCTTTGTGTGACACCATAATTTTTGCCTTTAATCTTGTTACAGTCTGATGGGTAGGGTAAGTATGGAGATATTCAGTTTGCCAACATTACCTAAAAGGGAACAATTTTAAAATTGTGTCTTCAACCTTTTTCAAGGTTTCTCCTTGAAACAATACAATTTGAAACAGTTGCACAACAAAACAGCAATACTACTTGGTTGATACAACATAGGGAAATGCTTTCCAAACTATTACATCTATGTATTCTAAAAGAAATAACATCCAATTTATCCTCTTGGGATTATATTTTGCCAAACATTTTTGTTAGATATGTACTTATCATCTCATCTTGTGAAAATTTTGATATGAAATTCACTTAAATTTTACCCTCGGGTAATAATTGAATACAATCTATCCTGTTGGTCTCTGTCACAGGTTGAGTAGATTTAGGTTATAAAACATAAAGGGAAGTGTCTAGCTATACATGACATCTGCTAACTTGAAGAGGGCAAACCTTTTTAGATTGTTGATCATTGTATTTTGCTTCATACCAGTTTCAGTGCATGAAGGGCCATTTTTACATCTACATATTGTTAGAAGGAATTTTTTGCAGTCACAAAGAACATTTGGCCGGGATATGAAATCAACTTGGATAATTCCTGTCTTGATGAACTAATCTGGGTCTACCTACTCTCTACTGACTTGGTAAATTATGATTGTTAGCTATTTTTGATTTCTAATAAAGTTATTATCATGGTTTTGCAGTATTCATACATGGGAGAAGATGAACTTCCAGATGTTAGGAATTCACAATCTCCTGATGGAGCAAAAGATAAAAGGAATGGCTCCAGAACAGGGAAACCAAGGTCAGCTCGTGGTAACAGGCAACCAAGAGACCATGATTATTGCATCAGGTAAATTCAGACCTTTGTTAGGGCTAAGCCATGTTTGTAGTACAAATTGTACTAGTGAAATTCACTGTTTAACTCCTTGACCTCCCAGAAATGAGAACTAGACTTGTTTGTACGACTGTGGCACATGTAGAGTGTGCAAGACTATTCATGCCATTTTGTTTGTCTTAACAAAAAGTTTGATACACTTCTACTGTGGGTACTTGCTCTCTTTTAAGTCACTGCAGTGGATGGAGTCTTCTATTACTGCATTGTCACACTTAATTGGTCTTTAAGATTTCTGAAGGAGTATTACTTAAATTGCACTGACACGTACTACCGTCCTTCCAATTGCAATATTCTACCCAGTATGGCAGTGTGTTTTGAATGTTCTTTTTGTACAAACCTGCTTGATGTGTCAAACCAGCTGAAGGCCTCTGAGCATAGCTTTTCCTTCTTTAATACGTGGATATTTAACAGAAGCTGATGTTATTTTTCAGGGTTCTTGTTCCATCCACTATGGTGGGAGCTATTATTGGTAAAGAAGGAAAGAAGATAAAGGATCTCACTGATAAAACAGGAACAGAGTGAGTAGATACATACATAATATAACTTGGGACATGGCATTTGTTCATGAAAAACACTGGATTATCCTATATTAAAGTTCACATGGCAACCAGGTGGACAGTCAGACATGGTTTGATACTACTCTGGTTTAGAGATTTAATTAATGTAACCGAGAAGTTACAATTCATAGAGCTAACATTCAAATCACTGTTGTCTAGTACCTTCATCAGGGGTGATCTAAACACTGCAACAAGAGGTCCTTTAACACGCTCACTAATTAGCTGCCTTTTTTTCTGACAAGGTGTAAATATGTGTCAGGAAGTAAGCTGCCATCATCACGATTCAAAGGAGCGTAGGCTGAGTTGATATGCCAGGCTTCCAAACAAAGGTGCTGGTGGTGATGCCGATTAGTGGTGATAATTTTAGATTTATCCCACCCAATTGTATGGTTGGTTCGGCATGAGTGCTCCAATAAAGCTGAATTTTCTTTTTTGCAAAAGAAGACCGCCTTTCGATGCTCTTTCAAATGTGAACCAAACTGACGTTTGGTCCGTTGATATACTGGTTATCACAGCCATTGCACAGAATAGAGTAAATAGCGTTGGTTAGTTGTTTTTTCATGACAGGATCCATAGGTTTGGCAGAAATATGCCCCAAAGTTTGAAAAGGTTTTTGAGCAACTTAAGGGTTGGGGCTATTCAAAATTCTCTTGATGGGTTCCGTAACACCCTGAATGTTGGGAGTAACAGCAAAACTAGTCACTGGTTCCCTCTCATTGGGAGTGCTATTAGTTGTAACTGCTTTTTGGCAGTTATAGAGAAAAGGTTTGGTATAGCCATTTGCCTTTAGGACATTTGAAACATGTTTCCTCTCCTCAGCCTTCGAATGGATTGAAGATGGTTGACAGTCAGCCCTCCTGAGTAAAGTTTTGGCTACAGACTCTTTATGGCAAATAGGGTGGTGAGAATTGAAAGTGAGGTATTTGTTGGTGCAGGTAGGTTTACGATAGACACTTGTCTCTAAATTTCTCTGTTCTTCTCTGTACACATTTAAATCAATACTGATTACGCTGTCAAAAATTCCTGTGAATTTGGAGATTTCATAAGAGATAAAACTCTTGATGCTTGTGAAGAATTAGTATCTTTTGACATTGTTTTGCTCTTCACTAAAATGCTAGTTGATCTTGCCATTAAGGTTGCGGAGAAAAGACTTAGAGAGGGTGCTTCCTTAGGACAAAGAACTTCTTTGCTTGTGGAGGATATATTCTTCTGCTGTCTTCTTGCCTCGAAACCACACAATTTTCATACAGCTTTGCCTACTATCAAAAGGTTTTTGGTACAGCTATGGGTTCATTGCCAAAATGCTAATGGAAGACATGGAACAAAGGGCCTCGGCCACTTCATCAGTTAAACCCTTTTTCTTGAAACGATATGTCAATGATGTAATTTCTGTGGTATCCGGAAATGAAGTGGAATGCCTCTCATCACACTTGAACTCAGTCAAGCCATCTATCCAAATCACCCTTGAGCATGAAAAGGATAGACATTTGCCCTTTCTTGATTTTAATGTGTACAGAGGGGAGCAGAGGAATTTAGAGACGAGTGTCTATCGTAAACCTAACCACACTGACAAATACCTCACTTTTGATTCTCACCGCCCCATTTGCCATAAAAAGTCTGTAGCCAAAACTTTACCCAGGAGGGCTGACTGTCTACCATCTTCACTCAATTTGAAGGCTGAGGAGGGGAAATATGTTTCTCTTGTCCTAAATGTGAATGGCTATCCCAAAACTTTTCTCCATAACTGCAGAAAACTAGTTACAACTAGTAGCACTCCTGATGAGAGGGAACCAGTGACTAGTTTTGCTGTTATTCCCTACATTCAGGGTGTTACGGAACCCATCAAGAGAATTTTAAATACCCACAATGCTTAAGTAGCTCAAAAACCTTTTCAAACTTTGGGACATATTTTTGCCAAACCTACGGATCCTGTCACAAAAGAACAACTAATTGATGCTGTTTATTCTATTCCATGCAATGACTGTAATAATGAGCGTATTGGACAGACCAAATGTCAGTTTGGTACACATTTGAAAGAGCATCAAAAAGCGGTCTTCTTTTGCAAAAAAGAAACTTTAGCTTTATCGGAGCACACGTGCCCCACCAACTATACAATTGGGTGAGATAAGTCTAAAATTATCACCACAAATCAGCATTGCCACCAGTGCCTTTGTTTGGAAGCCTGGCATATCAACTCTGCCCATGCTCCTTTAAATCATGATGATGCAGCTTATTTACTGACACCTATTTACACCCAGTCAGAAAAAAGAGCAGCTAATTAGTGAGTGTATTAAAGGACCTTTTTGTTACAGCACTTAGTTCACCCCTGATGAAGGCACTAGACAGGAGTGTCGAAACATTGGCTCTATGAATTGAAACTTCTCAGTTACATTCATTAAATCCTCAAACCAGACTGGCATCAAACCATGTCTGACTGGATTATCCGTTGTAATTTGCTCTAATTCCATTGAGTCAACTCTGTTCAGCGTTATCAGTGCTATACACATGTAACTGTCTTCTTTAACATTTCAAGTTTTAATCATAAGTGATTCTCACTACACATTCAATAATAAAATTCACCACTAAAGTACAATTTACAGTTGCATTGGAATTTCTTTTCAGCATCACAGTGCACAAGAAAGATGACAAGGGTCCTCCCGAAAAGGTAACAGATAAATGATTTCTGCTTTGTTTATGTTAACCCTTTAACTCCCATTAATGACCAAGACAGAATTCCTCCCTTCATTATTCATACAATATCAAGCAGACAAGTGATGAGAGAAGAGAAAAATATCAATTAGGGAATTATTAGCTGATGCAATACCAAATTCTCCAGATGAACATCAAAAGAATTGTATAGTAGACAGAAAGGAGAATTAATCAAGGAGAATTTAAGGAGAATTTTTCAAGGTAACATGCTGTCTGTGCACAATAGCTTTTGATACAAAGCAAAAAAAAAAAATTATTGGAAAATAATGTTGTTTTTGACTTTCTGGTAGCAGAAATTTTTATGTCCTTTTTGAGTTTATTTTAATTTTTTAATAATGAGTTTATTCTATTTTAATTTAAAAAAATAACTGTGTTAGTGTGTAGAGTGGTATGTTGCTTGCATCAATCAGATTGCTCTATCAGTACGTATTTTGCACCAATCATATCACAACATTTGGATATCTTGCACCTATCAAAATGTTTAGGGTATGTATCTCACACCAGTCATATCACAGCCCTCTTGCAAATGTTGTCATGGAATCAGGGGGCTGTGTACAAAGAATAACATAAACCATAAATTTTGGGCTAATTTTGATAAGTGTTATGGTGCATGGCCTCTGTGAGAGCCTTGTTGATTAAGGTTGAGATTTATTGGGATATGAAAGGTTCACATTTAACCTTTTTGTATAATTTTAAGGTAAAAAGTGTTTTTTCCGCTCCTTTACTCACAACACACACATCAAACAACTTACATTCCATCATGTACAATGAAAACAATGTTCAAAGTCCAATCAACATACCAAATCATTGCACTATATGAACATAAGGCACTTTTTTTTGTGCTTAAATTGTATTCCACCAATCAAATTCTATCTTGGCAAATTTAGACTTTGCTTTATCATGTGTCATTTCCTTCTAAACAACCTGTGTTTAATCATGTATTCTAACAGCATCGTCCAATCCCTCTGGGAAAAAATTCACATGAAACTAAATGCTTCTAAAAGTAAATTATCCATGCAATTCTCCTGTGTTTTGACTTTTTTTAGGAATAAAATTTGCTTTTAGCTACCTTGGACTTAATCCAATTGTGTGTTAATTCCTCATAAACAACTTGTTTTTATTACATCTTTTACACACACACAAGGCAAAGTCCAGATAGGCAACAACCAATCAAGGAGCCCCAAATATTACCCTTTTCTCTTGTTCAGTGTATCTTCACATATTCAAGATGGAAATATATCTACTGTTAGGGTCAAATACAGGACATTTCGCACAAAAGACTTTTTGCACAAGTCTTTTAGCTCAAGTTTTGGACTGTTCACACGATTCTTAGTGGTCATTTTGCACAATAATTATAAGTGAGAAACATCAATATAAAAGGTATACTAGTTGATACTGATAAGACATTTCACCTTCACATGTCACTTTCAATAAGATCCAAGGCGAGAACGTGGACATTTATTTGTGTAGTAACTCCAACTAGATCGAAATGCTTGTGAACACGATCACTATTCTTACTTATACTTACTTACTTGAAGAAAGGAACAAATCTTTCTCTCTATGAAAATGTAAAGAACTCCCTATTCGAACAATTACTTCTATTACTTTTCCTTTGTCAAACGAAAAACCTTTTAGTTTTGACAGTACATCATCCACCACAAACATACGAACATGACAATCCAACCCTAAGGATGCCATGTTGATTTCGAAAGTAATTGTCACCAGTCCTCCCTCTTCTGAAGTCAAAGTAAAAACCTGCAAACTGTTTCACTTTTTACCAAAAATGACAAAAGACCTATTTACAAAATTTCTGTGTAAATATATATAAATTTCTGTATATATATAAATTGGTGAATTCTGATAAACAGTTACATCTTTATCTCGACTATGTCAAGGCCATGCTACTTGGTCAAGACTCAAAGAAATTTAGCCCTTTCCTACATTCATTAAAGCTATAGTACATCTAGATTTCTTCATATGGAACGACTAGCGTGAAATCTATGAATTATTTTGAATTTTTAAAACTTTCGTGAAATCATTTGTTTACATCACGGTCGCTATGACGCTTATCGATCAATACTGAACTCTCCATCACTTGGGTAATTGTTATTAGAATAATTTGAAAGGTTACTACTCGATAAATGTATTAAACTTTACGATCTTTAAAGAGATTACAGATCAAACTTGTCTTTCTACAAGATCACTAGTTTCTACCTACACTGACACGTTCAAGTTGTCAAATCACAACACTTGCATGTGATGACATTCGATGTGAAGCACTCTCTGAATATTCAGTTATTAACGTTGAACTGTTTTTGCTGTACATGTTACCAGTATGCCTAATTGTCATTATATAACAAAGATATAGGAAGCAAGTTTTCATTAGCTTTGTTTGAAACTCTTGGAGATCGATAAAACAGGCTGTTTGAAGGCGATCGAACAAGGAAGGAAGACTGGTGACAGTTACTTTCAAAATAAAATGGTATCCTTAGTGTGGGTTGTCATGTTTGGAGGTTTGTAGTGGATGATGTACTGTCAAAACTAAAAGGTTTTCATTTAACAAAGTAAAAGTTATAGAAGTAATCATTCGAATAGGGAGTTCTTTATATTTTCATTAAGAGAGAGATTTGTACCTTATTAAATAAATTATATTTTTGAGGCAACTAACTGTAGACAAACAAATTTTGATTTTTTCTCTGTTAGAGGAATGGCAGTAAGTGTAAGTCTCTCTTGCAACCTTTATTTGGTCTCATCACACAATGTCCTCTCTCTCCAACGGGGAATGAATGGTGTTGTGTGACAAGACCAAACAATGGCTGCAAAGGGAAACAACAGTAAGTTTGGCACCGATGTATTTTATTTTTGCTTAGAAGTATTTAGACAAAAAATACCTGTGTGAGTTCAAATAAGTTAGTTTCTTTTTTCTTTCACTTAAAGAGAGGTAATGCATTATTTTCATCCATTTGAAAGTTATGCGTTTTTCTGTTACAAAAAAATTTGGTACACAAAAAGGCCCATCTCAACCCACCCAGCCAAAAATAACTCTTGCATGCTACACATGCTTATGTTCTTTTATTAATCAGTACAAAAAGTTATGAAGTATAGCTTTTCTTATGTTTGTTTTAGGTGGTGGAGATTGTTGGGACAGCAGAGCAGTGTACTGAAGCCAACCTTGGCATTCACAGGACTATGCGTGCAGAAACTGATCCTGCAAAAAGAGGGTATGATATAACAAAACAACAAACCAACAAGAAAACAAGCAGTCTTTTAGTGACAGAACTATATTTGTCTTGCAAGTGACATAGTGACTTTGCTTGCTAAAAGCAATTGATTCTCTCCTATCTAATGTTTGTACTTAACTGCCATTTAGTGAATCAGTTTGTTAGTTCTGAAATTTATCTCACTTCAGCCATCCTGTGACACATACAAATACAGCTTCTGGCCAAGAACTATCATTGACTGGAAAAGCCTGCCACCTGATTATTTAACATTGGATTCAACTGCAAAATTGAAAGCCACCATCTCTGACTACATTTTTTCAGTGTGCTGTTTACCTTTTACGATTTGTTTATTTATATATTTTTTTTTCCTACTTTTATATGTCCTAGTTGTAGTGCTTTAGTTATTAGTTAGGAGCTTGCAAATATGTCTGTTATAGATGTTGCAAGATAATATATATAAAATGTAAATGTAAAATGTTAGGTGATACAAGAGCAAGTCAGTGACTCTTAAATTGAACAGTGAGAGAGATTGTGGAGTAAAGAATGCAGACAATTTTGTGATGATGAAAGACCCTGACATTTGCTCAGCAACAGCTTTGTTTTTGTTATAATTATCATTTGGCATCATAATTACTGAGAAAGATGTTTTTTGTCTTGTTGCAAGTGTGGGACAAAGAAAACATTCTGAGTCCTCATTGAACTCAGCTTGTTAGATTCCAAGCTCTAACACTCTATCACTGAACCACAGAGACTTTGTGGTGAGCAAGGCCCATTAGACAGTTCATATTTGCACTCTGTCTCTCTTATTCTGCACTCTCTCCTGTATGCTATATGCAAAACATCATGCTATGGACATTGCTAATCTAAGCAGTATGCATGTTGCACATTATATTTGAATTTGGTAATGGGCCTGGCTCACCATGGAGTCTGTGGTTCAGTGGTAGAGCACCAGAGCACAGAATCCAAAGGTCTTAGGTTTGATTCCTTACGGGAACTTGGAATTTTTAATCCTGCGCTTGTGACAAGATGAAAAAGCATCTTCCTCTATTTCTTTACCAAGCTCAAAACTTTCCATCTTTCTTTTACAAAATCCAACTTACTTTTGCCCTTTGTTTAATTATTGATGCCATTTTGCTTGATTGTTTCAGCCAAGTCATTGAGATGCGAATTTTGGTTCATAGTAGCATTGCTGGAAGAGTGATAGGTAAGATGTGTACATGTAAAATAACTTGCTTTTAAACAGAGATAACAGTAAATGCATAAGTTTTGTCATGTAGACATATATGAATTGGTGTTGTGCTTAATCTGCTTATAGCACCCTTAAGCAGCACCTGATACACAATGTTCATAACAACTTTAATGGTCATTTGTCAACTTGTCTTGTGGTAAATGTCATAAGGCACTTTTACTCAGTAATTTCTCAAAAAAAAAGAAATTTCTGTCCTAATTTACTATGTCTGCTTATAGTGATGAAATATTTTGAAGTCCTTTGTCTTATGGTTTTTGTTATTTTAACTTCCATTATCTATTTTTTGCAGGTAGAGGTCATTGCCACCTTAAACATATTACTGAAGATGTAGAAGTTACCTCTGTTCGAGCAAAAAGGTAACTGTTCTGATGCTGGAAAAGTGAAACTTAGATTTCTCTTTGGTGTTCTTGCCACCAGTTTGTGTATTGTGTATTGTGTATTGTGTATTCTTAGGAAATCTGACATCATTTTTGTCGTTGTTATGGTTGACATATCGTAATGTCAAACTGAACAGAATTTTGCTTTGAACCTAACAAAACTCCTGGCCACTAATGTGTTTTGGAGAAGCCAGATAATTCTCCCTTCTCTCATTCCATTAAACATCACGAAGGGATGGGAAGTTGAAGCGAAAACTACTGAATTATTTTGTGCAAGATAACCATTGCATTAAAAGCCATACACTTTATATATTTGTCCATGACTAAAGCTAAAAGGTGTGGACATTTAGCTTTAACTGAACTGGTTTTGTCTTTTATGCTTCCAGGGGAGACATCAATCCATTAAACCAAATGGATAGAGTAATAACAATACAGTTTCAACTGCCAACAGAGCAGCTAGCCATATCTGAGGATACTATGCTAAACCCAGAAGAAGAGGAAGCACTTTCAAAATGTAGTCAAGCTGAACACTTAGTTAGTGTCAAAGCATATAGTTGCCTCAGAGAGATCATGTCACAGGTTTGTGCTTCAAGCAGACTTAAATATCAAAACTCTTAACTTTCTTTTGTAAATTTACATGGTGTATTGGCAACTTAAAACATTTGTTAGACTTGCTTAGTCACCATTACTGCAAGTAGTTCTATTAAGAAAATGATTAACATGTCATTTGTGGATCACATAGTCAGAACTAAATGAATTCATAGTTAAGTATGGGCCTCTGATTTGGAAACATGTATTCAGTTCAGAATACCATTTTTGAACTGGGGATATCACAAGAGTTGACTTGAAAACCCTAGTGGCACCTTACAATGAAATGAAAATGGACAGCAACATCTTTAAAGTAAGAGTCAAGAAAACAAGATCTATGTCAACTGGTACCTGTTATTCTGCTTCAATTATGAAACTAAAGCTCTAAATTTTTTAGAAAAACTTAGCCCTTAAGGAATAATTAATTCTTGTTATTAAAGTTGAGGACTTCATTTAAATGATGCAGGCTGTTATGTGCATGTACATATGTATGCTGACATATTACAATTCCTTTACTCTCTAGCAACAACAGCGCCCAAATGTACAGCAACAGTTTATGCCTCCCCATGCACAGGGTCCTTGGCCTCAAATGGGAGCACCCTCTTATAGCAACCCACAGCCTGTGAGTATGGTTACTCCAACTAATCATTAGATTTTTTTTTGCCTGCAGTTCCTAGTATTTATATTGATATTCAATGAAAGTAACCTAAACCATCTTATTATAAATAATGATTTTTCTTGTAGACCCATCCTTTTCCTTCATGGTTTCAAGGAGCATTTGGAAACGTCTTTCAGGGTTATATGAATGTGGCCCAGGTAATTTTTTTTTGTTTCTACAAAGTGGCCATTTACTTTCTGCAATTTTGTTTGACTTCTGTTTGCTAGCTGTATTCCCCTCCAAGGAGTTGCAGTGACTCTCCTTCATTAACTGTTGTAGTTGAGATTGATCTTAAGTAATTTGTTCCTCTGTGTAATTATGTTGTAGATGGGAGTTAAAGTTCACTTGTCATTTCCATCCAAGTTTGCCGGCTCCTTGATTGGCAAAAAGGCTTCAAATCTTCACCACATAAAGAATTTCAGTGGAGCTCATAAAGTGCATGTGTTTCCTAAAGATCGTGATGCACCTGAGAGATATGTTGAGATCATAGGCACTCCTTTGCAGCAGTACCTAGTAAGCTATTTCATTTAAAGATAGCTAAAGGGAGCTAAAATAAGTAGGTTATCCACTACAAATGTTCAATACTTATACTATACAAGTCAAAATGTACAAAGGTATTTACTTATTTATTCTATTTTTACATTTAGACAATGTGTTTGTCTGTTTTAATAGTTATTGCAAGAAATGACGCTAGTACTGGTGATAATTAACTTTGTTGTAATTATGTCTCCTTTGCTTGACAATTTCAGGCTCAACACTGTGTTTATTGTAAGCTTGCAGAGGAAGGTTACAAAACAAATTCAGGGGAAAATTTTGGCGAACTAAAATTGAAAATAGAAATTTTCATACCTCTCAAACCAGGAAGTAAGGATCAGCCCAATGTAATAGGCAGATTTATTGGTAGAGATGGCCAAAATGTAAGTAGGGAGAACTCATTCCTCAAACTTGTTTATATTTTGAAACCTTTTAGTGTTGTCTCGTTGCCTTTCACCTTCATGCAGGAAAGAATCTCAAAATTGTTCACCATCATCTGCTGTGTTCCTTGATTTTTTTTTTCCCCAAAAAAGAAATGAGTCAAAAGTTTGTTATCCATATATTATTGTTGTGATCTCTATCTGGTCCAACTATGATATCTTGTCCAGTTTAACCTTGTGCCCCCAAATCATTTTGGGTAAGGGTTAATCTCAGAACCACACATTTTCAGTCTTTTGAGCATTTTCCTGGGTTCTAAAAGGACAGTACTTTATGGAGATTTGTATTTGCATTTGTAACATACCAATTTTTTTTTTATCTGTTTATTCTGGGTTAGGTTAAAGAACTGCAAAGACAAACAGGAGTACGCATTAAAGTTGTTTCAACTAGTGAAGATACTGATAGTAATGAGGCAATTATAGTTATTGAAGAAAGCTTTGCCAGTGGCCAGGTTAGTGTACAAGTCACCATTTTAGGAGTGATTGCAGTGATGAACCCAAGCTGAGCAATTATTTTGATTAGTGAAGATCTTAGTGAAGACCAGCAACATAGAGAAAACTGGCACTGACACCATTTTTTTCCCTTAGATATTGTTTGAATTCCTCTTTTGACCAATAACATACCACAGGTTACATTATCACTGGGTGTTGATTTAATATGTATGCTTTAAGTGTTTCTCTAATCCAATATTTGACTTAGATTGTTTGTTCTTATAGCGTGCTCAGATGCAAATTCTTGATGCCATAGTTCGATGTCAATCTCCCCCACCAAGGAGGCAACAGGTGCCTTACAGCTGAAAGTGACTCAAGGCTAGGAAATGTGCACATTCACTGTATCTTTCATATGTTCACTCTGCTCACAGCATCTTGTATTCTATTGTGATCTGTTATGGTGAAGCTTACCAGGTGTATTGTTGGTATAAGCTGCTGGTCACCAGTGAGACACTGAGCACCTTACTTCGAAAACTAATGGATATGACGTAATCAATCTTGAACCTTTGTAGTATTTAATGCAATGCCATGTAATCTTGAAGTCATGTGTGCCACTAATCATATGTGAAAATACTTTTTCTCACACTTTGTGGCAAGTGTTTCAGGCAAGCTTCTTTGATGTGTAATTGGGAATTTCTTCAGGAGTTAATTTTAGGCCATTCCACACCCCAGTCTAGATTAAATTCCTATGCATGTTTGTACCTTTTATAGTATTTTAACATTTAAGTTGCTCAGGCCCTTTTTTTTTTTTTTCCTTTTTTTGCTTTAAGTAGCTTTAAGTAGATTGCCGATAAAGGTTGTAATTTTTAAGGAATATTTTAGGCATGCTTGCTGTTGCCTTTTCACCCTGAAAGGGGAAGTAGTTGTTTTTCCTTCAAATGGGATAAGTGACGGCTTCTGGTTTGTCAGCCTTTGCAATTAGTTTCTTTGTGGGGTTTTGTCCTTGTCACTTCATAATTGGTTTAATTATTAATTGCTCACAGAACAGCATCAATCCTAACACCGTGTTTATTTCAGTCTAAGTTGGAGATAGATAAAAGCTTTTGTTTTTCATACGTGGATTTAATTCTTAGCTTCTCCATATCACTGAACAGTGAACAGTCAGTTGAAATACATGTATTGCTATTGGCCTTTGCTAGCTTCTCTTAACTCAAAAGAGTTTGTCGAAAGACTGGACAGTGCTTGGGTGGGGTTATAATTGAATGATTGTAATTTTAACTACTGTGTAGTTTAAGTGACGGTGACCCAAAGCTGGCTGAGGGACTCAACACGTGGTAGCATTGATACTACTCTCCTACTGTACACCATTTTCATGGTACTTATCTGGGATTATTATTGATGGACCATATACGCCCATATTTTTCTCCAGATTAAATTATTTTGAACTGGCATGTTGTGTTGTTTGGTTTGTTAGACTTTGTTCTTATAGTTTTTTCAGTGTATGGTTAGGGTTAGGGGTTACTCGGTTTTCAGTATTGTTAAATTAGCAGCTGAAAGACAGCATGTGTTGGTTGAAGCATCAATGCCAGCGTTACAAAGTTTTTTCTGTGGTAATAAGTTTATTTCCTTTTTTAAAAAAAAAAAGATTGAAAGTTCATAACAACCTTAAAAGAAGAAAAAAGTTCAATTTATGGTGACCCCCTCGGCCCATGAAAGCAAAATCCCCCGAATTCATTCTATTTTTGAGGGAAGGAATTCTTTCTTTTTTAATCCGTCAACGAGTGTAGATCTTAATGTCGAACGATCAACGAAGAGTACAAAACCATGCATCATCATGTTCTGTGTAATATTTTATCCGACTTAATTTATTCACACATTTGTGCTGACTTTAGTCAGGCATGATAAGAAACACGCTTATCCTGCAGACCGCAGAAACACTTCCTACAGTGTGCTGCACTTAGTACTAAATTTAATGATGATATCGTTTCGACCAGTCAAATTTTTTCAAATATCGACAACCTATGACAACCTGGATATGTAGAGGCAATGAAAGTGCCTTGTAGCTGGATGGGGGGTCACATGTAACAAAAGCCAGAATGTTCATGGTTGACCTCTCTGACTTGAAGGAGTCGAGGTGTCTACAGCTGCTAAAGTAATTGAGACGTCTACTTGGATTAATTTGTCAGCAGATACAGTGACTCGATCACATCTGCTAACATGAGGCAACGCTCTTAGCAAGTGCACCTGCCGACGGAAATCATTACGTGCGGAAATTTTTTTGGGCTAAGTCCCCGGCAAATGAAATCAAACCTCAACATACCACGGGGAGCGAACATTGTATCAGAAGCAAATTATATTTTTGGGCACAAAAGTATGCGAATTAGGTCGAAAACATGGCGGATATCCAAGCTTTACTTCTTGAGAAAGATTCACAAAATTTGTATTTAGTCCCCAAGGATGCCTTAATGTAAAAATTCCAGGATGATTCTTTTCTAGTCAGTCGCGTGATTTTTACCTAAACAGTATTTCGTGTTTTCAAACTCCACAGGATATTTCCTTCCAAAGCCCTCGGGTGATGATAATTAACATTAATGACTTCTTGCTCGTCTGTATTCAGCTCAAAGTCAATTTAATGCTCGTCTGCGCCAGCCAATCAAAGGCAGCCAAGACACAGAACACTCAAAGCGTCACTTAATCGGTTTCACGTGTCGGACCCAATTGCATCAGAAACTTTTGCTCTATATCTCGTACGCCGTGGGTACAGTCCTGCTGGAAGACGTCACTTGGTAAGAATTTATGCAATATTTTACATTTAACCAGTTATATTTCATGTAAGTAAAATTTTACTCGTGAAGCTCTCCTTTTGGGAACCATTTTCTCGGTAGTATGTCCATTTCTATTACCTGATATCGTTTACGTTGGTTAGCGCATTGTCCACATGTTAAAGGCTCTAAATCGGTCGTTAAGGAGGTTCGCGACTTTTATTTACACCAATTTTACGTGAAACGGAATGAAGCAGCCTTGTTCTGTTAGGACTTACGGCAACACACCTTGTAAGAAGATCCCTTCTTACCAGGTAATTGCTTAGATCGGAAATCAGTTTTTTCTCAATCACGACGAGAAGCGAAGAGTGACTCATTGAATCGAAATTTATTTTGGCCACTCAAGATGGATTTTGTGTTTGTGTTCAACTATTAAATCATACCAACCTGAGAGATGTATTGGTGGCAAAACTGTGTGAAGTCGGATATGAACTAGGTCACTTTTCACATATATGATTACAGACCGACATGAACCTCGCTCGGCCTTGTGAACACGTGTGACGCATTCGTGATGTCATTGCTCATTCTAGTTATCTATCTCGTGCGGAAATTTTGTTGTAGTTATGATCATAACCATGGTTTTCAACACAGTTCTATGAACAGAACGTAGAAATTCACTGTAGGAAACGTTGCTATGTAACCTAGCAAGCTTTATGAAATTGTGCCAAACACTTTGGCACATAATGTATAACAACATATCACGGACTCAAGATGGAAGTGTTGGAAATAATTCAATCTCATCTTTAAATTGAGGGATCTGTGGTCGCCTGTTTTAGAATACAATTTGTATTTTCTCCATATTTCCCCCAATTTCTCTCTAAGTGCCACTAACCCCCAAAAGTTGTTTTGTCAAACCAATTTGAAATTATCGTTATCATTTAGAGAGAAAGCAGTCACCTGAAAACATAGGAAAGAACTATAGAATTATGCCCAGAGGATGGTTCGCCGTTCATACCATCCCATATTCTGAGGACAACTGCCCTGAAGCAAAGAAATGCAGAAGAAAATAGGTTGATTTCTCTCAAACATGTTGGTGGGCAGGCATGATTCTGGCCACTCGCAAGCTATTTTAAATCTTTTCCCTTTAAAGTTGACGACCAGGACCAGGATATCTTTTACTGACTTTCCTTTTCAATATCATAACAGGGGTTGCTCTTGAGCATGGTTGGTTTTGAATAAGATGCCATTTCTCCATCTCTGTTCTTGAAGTTAGGTAAAGCCAAGTGAAATTGTGTTACAGAAGGCAATATTTTCTTCTGTTTGCTATTTTCTTTTTATTTTGAGTGACCTTTCTTTCCCAGTAATATTAATTTTAAAGATAGTTATACAGAATCTCATCTGGATGTCCCCTATACTTCAAGCACATTTTGAAATTCTGTATGTTTTAATTAAATGTGGAGTGAAAGAAATGTGTTTTTAGGAAAGGTAGTGCTTCTCCTTTTATGTAGCCTTTATTTACACCTGGAGGATGATGCAAATAAAAATTTGAATATTGGAAGGGCTCTGTCTCTTCATAATGTGTTGTACGCCAAGTGTTGATCCCCCATTAATTGCTCGCCTTTGTACACTCTTGTGTCCAAAAATTTAATTTCTGAGGCAGATTTATCAACCCTGAATTTATTTATCTGTTAGTTGTTAATTTGAGAGGTTCGTGATGTGCTGCTTGCATGACTCGATCTTTTATCCTTCCACCTTTGTCTTTGTTTTAACCATTTGCTTTGTTTTGTTTTGCTTTTTTTGGGGGGGGGGGGGGGTTTGGGAGGTAAAGAGTGCACAAGTAAATTATTCAACTCTCTTGTCTGTTTGTGCTCTCACATTTACAAGATGCTTGTCAACCTCTGCCAGTTTAAGATTTGATTTAGAGGCTAATTTGTTTACATCACTTGCTTTCAAATGGATTGAATCAGTGGCCACTGATTCTACATTGTTTGAAAGTTCTGTTACATTCTACGTTCTAGTTTTTGCTAGCTCTAGTTTTATTTGCTTTTTTTAAAGTCTCTAATGTGTCTCTAATGTGTCTGTGCTCTGGAAGGTCGTGCTCTACCTTCTAATCAAGCTTAGATATGTGATTTAAAATCTTTACTGATAGCCATGTTCACCTTCATGTTATATCTTAGTTGTTTTGGGCATGTCCCTCTTCAGATGAACTTGTAAGGGTCCAATAGAGTTATTTTTCATTGATGTCAAGGGTCTCTTGACACCATTCATCAAGGCTTCACTTTCGGTGCACAATCAATTTCCTCCATCTCTGTGTTATATTCTAATAGATTAGAAGCTGCGGATGCTTTGAAGTCATACAGTCATTGTTCAAGTTTGATTCTCTAGATGACATGGCTTTCTTTAGGTATTTTGTGGAGGGTCCTCAATGGTTAAAAAAGGGAAATTCCCACAAGCATTTCCCCTTTCTTGGCAAAGCATCTTTTAAGTTATTGCAGCCTTGTAGCAAGTTTTTTCAGGATGCTATAACAACCTTCCTCAATCCAGGTCCTAAGATGCACAGTTGTGAAACATAAAAATTAAACTTTTACTGCTTGTAGAATTTGGAGGTTTTATGTGTTTTTTTTTTAATGCGACATTACTTTTCTCACTGTGTTGATCAGTAAAACCATGAAATTTCTTTTACTGAAAAAATGTTTTGGTTTTAGTGGCACTTTAAAATGAATCAATTTATTAATTAGGTTCCAAGGGGACATAGGCAAGAGCTTTTTGTTGGAGTGTCCAACACAAGCTTGTTATTGGTGTAAATTTTTTGGCACTACAGTTGATAACCATAGCACTGTCTCCTCAACCTATGCCATTGTTCTTTCCATACCCAGATATTCTGCTCTTGTTTATTAATATGGTTCCTGTAATTGAGGAAGCACCAGGCCTCATTTTAAATTGTGGTCTCACAATAAAGCAACAAAAATTTCATAATATTGTTGTTTCCTTGAAAATACTTCAATTTCCACTTCATTTAGAGTTATTTCAGGATATCCCTACTCTTTTAGATTTATGATCTTCTTTCAGTGTTCTACAAAACCTTATATCTTGCCCTCTTGTGAGGAGCACAAATGAATCAACCCTGTGTACATTTTAAGTGAGCATTTTCAATGACACTCTCCCTTAAAAGAAGACTGATGTTCAAGGTGTTGTCTTTTCTGAATCATTCTGCTGAGAAAAGAAGAGATTTGAAGGTCTGTCCTTACAGCTTGACTTTTGGGTATAATGCTCAAGGAAAATTAGGTGTGGTGTCTATAAGATGGGAAAAACACCACAACAACAATACAAATGTTACTTCTTGACTAAGTATGACACATGTAACTAACAGAAAATGTACTTACAGACATTGATTTCAGGTCAGGACTCACCACTAAGCAGAATGTGTGGGATCTGGGCTATATTTGGAATCCCAGAATACTCAAAGTATGCCAGCCTTGCCATGAAAATCTGCCAAAGAGGACCTGATGTGTTCCGTATGGAGACAATTCCCCATTTCAAGAACTGCTGTGTGGCATTCCACCGCCTGGCTATTGTTGATGATCTTTATGGCATGCAACCAATGAGAATCAAAGCACTGCCACACCTTTACCTAATTTACAATGGAGAGATTTACAACCACAAAGAAGTTGGGAAGAAGTATGACTTTGACTTTTTCACCAAATGTGATGGGGAAGTCATTCTGCATCTCTATGACAAGTTTGGAGTTGAAGGAATGGCTCAAAGGCTAGATGGTGTTTTTGCTTTTTGTGTTATCGACACAAAGAAAGGACAAGTTCACATTGGAAGAGATACTTTTGGTATCCGTCCATTGTTTACTTTGTCTGCACCTGAAAAGAAAACAGGAATTTTGGCTTTAAGCTCTGAAGCAAAAGGCCTTGTTCCTCTCATCAAAAATTTTGAAAAAAATGGCAACAAGGTTGAGGTAAAGCCATTCCCCCCAGGTCAATATGCATCATACAGCTTGTCAAATGAAGAGGGATTAACTACATTTATTGAGCAAAAGGCATACACAAAGGTTGGCAAGCCCCCCGTCTTTGAAACCAAAGTAAAGCCTGACTCCAGCGATGTCATGGAAAACATCAGAAAGTTGTTCACCGAAGCAGTGCGTAAGCGCCTCATGGCAGACCGTAGAATTGGTTGTTTGCTCTCTGGTGGCTTGGACTCTAGTTTAGTGGCATCCTATCTAACCAAGCTTGCAAAAGAAAGTGGAATTGACTACCCAATCCAGACCTTCTCAATAGGAATGGAAGGAAGTACAGATGTTGCTGCAGCTCGCAAAGTGGCAAATCACATTGGTTTGTTCAGATATTTGTTTGCTTATTAATTTCAAACACATATTAATGGGCTGTGCTGTGGTAAAATTTTTATTCAAAATATCCCATATATTCTTGCCAAGTAAAGTAAATGGTTTGAACCCAGGAGTATCAGTAGTTTGTATAGTGTGATCGTCTGGGTGAGTGTAGTTCTGAAAAGAACTGTTGTTGGTGACTTGATATTCTTGCCAATTTATGCTAAAAGTTTAAATTTAATTATAATGCTTCACAATGTAGGACTGTATTCACTCTAGGTATGTAGGATTTTGATATGGCAACCTCCATCATTTTGAAAGGGCATGCATATCCTAATGCAATGAACTTGTCAATTCAACTTTTATTTTATTACAGTCAACTTTTCAGAGCTTATAAGGGCTAACACTTATGGTTTGTCAGAAGTTTTCTTTGTGATTTAAAGTTCAACCACAGCAAAGCTTTGAAAATGATTGGGAAGTATTCTCGCTGACATTTGACAATAATGACTTGGCTGTGAATTTATTCCTGTAGGGAGTGAACACCATGAGGTAATCTTTACTGCAGAGGAGGGACTCCAAGCTTTGCGTGAAGTGATCTATGCCTTGGAAACATGGGACATAACAACAATCAGAGCATCAGTTGGAATGTACCTTGTCAGTAAGTACATCAGCAAAGAAACTGACACTGTAGTAATTTACTCTGGTGAGGGTTCCGATGAGCTGTGTCAAGGTTACATCTATTTCCATAAGGCACCAACCCCAGAAGATGCAGATGCAGAATCTCGAAGACTGCTGGAAGATCTTTACTTGTACGATGTTCTGCGTGGTGACCGCTCAACTGCTTCACATGGTCTGGAAATCCGTGTTCCCTTCTTAGATGTTCAATTCACTTCTTATTTCTTATCTCTTCCTCCTGAGATGCGACAGCCTAAAGATGGCATTGAAAAGTGGCTTCTGCGGGTATCTTTTGATAAAACAGATGCATTACCCAAGGAGATTCTTTGGCGAGCTAAAGAGGCATTCTCTGATGGAGTGTCTTCTACTAAGCCTGGACAGGCATGGTTTGAGATTTTACAGAATCACATCAATAACCAGGTCCCTGATGAAGCACTAGCTGCAGCAGCTGAGGTTTACCCAGATAACACCCCCAAAACCAAGGAAGGCTTCTATTACCGTCAGATCTTTGAAGAGTTTTTCCCAGACCAGGGCCATTTTATTCCATATATGTGGATGCCAAAGTGGACTAATGCCACAGATCCTTCAGCAAGAACCTTGGAACATTTCAAAGAATAGAGCTACACTAAGTGTGATGCATTCCATGAAGTATAAACAGTTAAAATTTGTAAAGGACAGCATCACTTTTGGAAACTTAAAAACAAAACAAAAATCTAAATGTCATTGAAAAGCCCTGGGTTTGTTGACTTTCTATTTAACTTTTTTTTATTATTAAAATTGGATCAGCTCAAGACTAGGTTTTACTGTTTTACAACTTACCAGTGATAGGATCACTCAATCATTTTGCTTTGTATAGGATTAGTTTGACTCTGTTTAAAGGCTTTACCACTTTTAATATCATAGATGTGATCACTTGTCTTAACTCCCAGTCTATACTTTTGCAAACAATCTGCTGGTTTTTCCACCAAGGAATTGATAGGGGAAGGTCTTAAGGTGCCCTTAATCCCTCGTCTCTGTTAATGTAACATCGTACAACCCTTATAAATCAAGTAATTTTTATCCAAAAAATCTAAAGGGCATGAATCCCTCCCTGCTAATTCCGCAAAATGCCATTTATGTAGAACACAGCATTGATTTCAACATTTCGGTAGGGTAAGTAGTCTAAGTGTGACCCTCTCCCTTCTTCAATAACCATTGCTTCGAAAGCTGTGAGGCCATCTGAGAGTAGAATGAGGCGTAGGGAGACTTGTGATAGACGTGGCAACTCAGTGGTTAATTCCTATCAAACTGAGACCCTTGTTTTTATTTACCAACAACAGTTCTTTTAATTTTACACCATTAACGGTACTTTGTAATACGTATGCAATCTATGTTAAAAATTGGATGAAAACATTAAGTAAAAATCACAATAAGGATTCGCATTGAATGATATCCGGTCCAATTTAATTTCCAGATTGGATTCCGTAAGAAAGTTTTCCCAAAAATAACGCAAATAAACATAGAAATAAATTATTATTAATCTGATAATGTTTTCTTCAATTCAAGTCGTATGTATCGCCTTCAACTGATATAAACTATTCCCCCCAGTGCAACAGCTTAAGTACACCAATCATGATTTCCATGCAGACTTTTTTCCCTCATTAATTAGTTAAAAAAAAATATCGGAGGACCTTCATAAACTATGGATGGTTGTTTCATTGTGTCCTCAGGTCCTTAACATTCTCTGCGCCTGCTCGTCAAACTGTCAAATGTATAAAGTCCATCAGCACATCACTTGTCAGTGAGTGGTTTTGGACAGTTTTCCTTTATATCCACCTTCCCCCTCTTCTGAATGCTCTTGCGGTTCTTCACTCTTTGACCCATCACTCTCCGACTCGGAGAGTAACTCGTACTCTTTACGTTTGTTTTCTCTCCGCTCAAGTAGACCTGCCGTGTACTGAGCAAGAATGAGAATAACAAGCACTACAGTACCACCCAAGGCAAATGCACGAAACGTGTTCGTAGTGCCGAACGACTCGATCAGTGCACCACTGATCATAGTACCGCCACCGTTACCAAGTCCCCAGAATATTCCTTGAAGGATCCCTGCAAACGTAAAAGTAAAGTAGTTTTCAGTCAAATAACATTCTAAACTACTGTCGGGCGGCTTTGCTTTTCGTAAGAAACCCACTGAAATTGAATCTCAACCGCGAAGTCTGAAAGGATCAGTAGCCAAAAACACTGGCTCGCTCATTTAGAATTATGATCGATGTCAAAAATGAGCGGTTGAAAAACATAAACAATGATAACCACGTAATTTTGTCTAGAGTGATCTTTCTTGTTGTTGCAGTTGGTTCGGTGGACGATCGATTATCAAATTAAGTTTCTTTTTCGGGTTCCTGATCTAGAAACTATAAAATCAAGGGAAAGAAAACCCATACATATTCCATGAGCTAATAGTCTGTGAGTGTCTGTCAGCAATATTGGCATTTCTTTTCATGCTCGGTTAAGTTTTTGACAGCCTTTATAGGGATCAAACAGTTCTATTGTATTACGTTTCTCCTTTTTTTCGCCCTTTTTATGAGGCAAGCATTCCTAGCTGGTGAATTTTTTGCAAAATATTTAGGCCAACTTTAAACAAATCCACGAAAAACAACACCTGAGGAATCATACTGGTTCGATCGCATTGTCCGAGTGGAATATTTAACTTACATTCAACTCTTTTAACAGTCACCTACAATCCAGGACATTCAAATACTCTCGGTACTTAAAAGATTGATTAAAAAGGAAAATTTTTTGGTGAGTTGGTCACCTTGTGTGGTATCCACGACACCCAGCTTTGTTCCAACATCACTCATGTAATGAACACAACAGGACCAAACTAAACCATAAGTTCCTCCATCCAGCAGTTCTAATGCCACAGCCATCCAGGGATTCTCAAGATTAGAGTAACAAATAAAGCAGATAATGTAAGCTAATAGAGAGAATACCATTGCGTTGACATCGCCAAGGGATTGGAGAGTTGTAGCACTCATGGCAAACATGATTATAGCGGCTATTTCTCTTGCAGCGCCCGCAGCCCCCATGATAGAACTGGATCCCCCTAGATCATCAATAACCCAGTTAACAAAATGAACAAGTATTCCATAACAGAAACCCGTGTACAAGGTCGCCATCAGAAATGAAGTGTGACGAAGGCTTAGAAGGATTGGCGCAACTTTTCCGATATCTTCAAATTTTTTTTCTTCATCGTAGGTAAAGCGAAACCACAACGCGTTTACAAATGCAGCTGCGACAAACCCGATGAAGACGAAAAAAGCAACTATATAGTTGTTTTGTTGCCATTGGCAAAGTTTGAAAGTAGAATAATTGATTATAAGTCCGACCATAGTTGCCGCCATGGCCCAGCCAAGTGAGCCCCACATCCTAATACGTCCGTAGTACTCTCTATCGTCTCCAAGTCTCTTGAGAAGAGAAGCATCTGACAAAGCGTAGGTCGGAGATTCAAAAAATTCCCCAATGATAATAATTAACGTAAACATGACGAACATGAAGTCAATTTCGTACGTATCAATTTGAGTGATAAATTCTACCGAGGCATCTAATTCTTCACTGTAAACTTTCACCATATGACTAAATTTAAGTTCAAACCTTTTTCCAACCTGATTTTCCCCAAGTATGGAAGGTACATTTTTATCTTTGTCCGCATCCTGAACAAGATCGTGGTTTGACGTATTTCTTCTATTTCTTTTCTCTATCGCTGTCATGGCTCCCAGTTTACCTCTAGGTTTCGTGTGATGCCGGGAAGCATTTTTATGACTGGGCTTCCTCTGTTGAAGAGGCGCATTCTTTATTAATACTTCTTCGGGAAGTTCGCCAGTTTCATCCTTGATTGCTTGTGTGTTTGCTTGTGTATCGACCACAGTAATTCTATTTTTTTCCACCATAATTGGATGATGCAGTGGTATAACCACCCATTTTGGTTCCTCGGTAGCCTCTGTGTTCCAAAGATCGTAAGCATAAACGTAACTCATATTAGATGTTTCGTTCAGGTATATCTCAATGCATTGTTGATTGTGTGGTCGCACAGCAAGGAGAAGAAAAGCTTTCACGATCCACGCAATGACACTTCCCAAGAATATGACTTTTCCCGCGTGATATCTGTCAGCTATGACTCCCCAGAATGGTGCTCCAACACACTGAATAAGAGGTCGGATACCAATAATGATCCCTGCGTAACTAGCGCCCAAGAATAGCTGTTTAAAATACAGTGGAAGGTAAGGAATAAAACCACCATACGCAGCATAAATAAAGAAACAAAATCCTTTGAAAATTAGGTAGTCTGCCTCGTAAAAGCACTTGAAGTAGTCTGACTGCTTTGGATTCTTTTTCTTCCTTAAATTTTCGGTCGTCTTCTTGTGCTTTTGAACAGGAGATTGTTCTTCTCCCTTTTGTTCTTCGTCCTCTATGTCCATGATGGATTGCTAAGAAAGGCGGTAAAACAATCGTTAATGTCTGGAGATGAAGAAGAATGGCCAAAATATAGTGAGGCAATACACGCGAAAGTGATTGGAGCGTGCGGCGTGGTCCTTAAAGGAACAGGCCCGTCACATCACTTTTCATGGGGTAAAGTTAAGAAACAAATGATGTTTACGCCACTCTTCCTGTCGGTTCAACCTCACAAATTATATTTGCCCGCTAAAATAATTATGCAAGAAATTAATACTTCCATGGCTCACTACCCGGGAAACCATGGAGAAAAGAGAAATTTGCATTTCCTATGAATACGTGATTTAAGAGTGTGTCGTCAACGAAACTTCCCGTAATTCTCCCACACGAGGCCTTTTAAAACCATGCGAGTTCGCCAGTTTTGATCAAACTTAACAGAAATTCAATAAGAATGAACTAGAATGAATAGGTAAAGAACAAACAGCATATGGTACAAGGTGTGCACAGAAGATGATCTCACAACACATATAATGACATTCATTTTCTACAATAATCTTTTGTCCATGATCTAATCATCAAAAAGTTTGCATTACTAAAGCTTTGTAATGAACTCAGCCGGGAATGATAAAAGGTATTTAAATTTGGTTTAGACTAAAGACATTTGAAGAGCAATTCTGATGGTGTTAATTCCTTAGGAAAAGATCTTCGGTCTAAATGAACAAAATTCATCAGCTACGTTGATGGTTGGTGGGAAACAATTTTTTCCGAAATTGCAAGCAGCACATTCTTTGAGCCTTAGAAAAGATTAAAATACATTTTCCTGATGGTACGTTGAATTTGCCCCTCAAAAACCCTACATGAAAGTAATGTATCTTTTAACTAGTGAGTTTTCCTCCTTTCAATCAAACAAGCCCAAGCCGATCTTAGCTCGTGGTTCATTTTATCAAAAACACAAAACTTCGTGCTACGCAAACAAAGTTCGTCACAGTATGATGATAACAAAAGAGCATCGCGTTTGCTTTATCTTTTACTGATCTTAGGTCCAGGTAAAAGATGGATATTAGCGCTCAATAAAGCTCAATATCGTTTTTTAAATAAATATCATTATAAGTTTATCTTACAGTAGTGCTATAGTTTTACTCTTTTCTCGACTTTTCATGGTAACACGAGCTTTCAGCTTCTTCACTTTTCGAGTGAATCGAAGCGCGCTCATCCTCGTTACATGTTGTAAGATATATTGATGTCAGTCATACTAACCATTTCTTATGTATCGATGATACAGGTTCGGAGTGTGAACTACGGAAAATTCAGGCGAGTATCCTCTTTATTTACGTGCACTGATTTCATCTGTTGCTTCATCCAAAAATCCCTTGTGGATTAAAAATCCTTAATACCCCAAATAAAACAACCAGCATGAAGAACAATGCACCAGTTATTGAGGACTGGAAGCTTCTATAGAATTGTGATAAGTGAAGGCTCTACCTTAATGCATCATTTCATCCATACAGATCTGAATGTTCTATTCACTCAAATCTCGGTTTTTAAATAATCTATCTAAAAAGGACAAAATTTGAGGAAAGTAAAGTTTAATTGGCAAATTATTGATCAAATAAAAGTTACAATGATATAGCAAATGAAATCCTTCAGGCAGCAATCAGTCAGGGCTGACTTCTCAAAAGAAAAGCTAGATTTCAATGCACTCATTACGCTGGCTTGAATATAATTAGGAGAAAGACTTCGTCACTTCCTTCAGGTTTTTTTTTTTAAATTTCAAACCGCTCAAAATTGCATCAGGTCTAATGCGACCAACTTTCACTGGAACGCGTTTGCTGTCTGCCGTGAATGAAGAGATGAGAGATGTCAGTGTATTTCATTGCGTTTTCCACTAAACGCTTTTAACTTCTCTTCTTCCTTTGTTTGGGAAATGCAAGCTTGAATACAGCCGCTGACAATTAAGACCGTGGCTGAGATAACAGCCCCTGAACGGAAAGACGGTACAGCTCCATATTCATCCATAAGAATTCCTCCAAAAATGGCGCCCAAACCTCCTCCAAGACCCCAATAAATTCCCTGAAGGATACCTGGAAAGAAAACACTGCTTTAATGTTTAGAGAAAAGGAAAACTCGACATGGTTACTTCTATAGCATTTTACTAAATGATTAAGTAGTAATTAAATATAGACTTCTTAAGAACAGAGGCCCGACTTGAGACATCATGTAGGCGAAATTAATCAATTATCAATTTTCTACATCATCAATAGTACTGTCTGATCAGTAACCGAGACCTTGCATTGTGGCGGCACCACCTTGAGGTGTAGCATCAGCCAAATGAGTGACAGCTGTGGACCAAGCTGTTCCGTAGGTAATTCCTTCTAAGAACTCCAATAGCAATGACCACCAAGGATTATGGATGATGGAGAAACTTCCAAATAATACAAAATATCCCAGCACACTAAACAGCATCAAGCGCACATGGCCAAATAGCTTCGATAAAAGCGCGTTGAATATGTATGCAATAATTAAAGCAATAGCACGAAAAATTGTTGCAATTCCCATCAATAATTTGCTTGCTCCGAGGTCCTCAAGATACCAGTTGAGAAAGTTAAAAAATAATCCATTGGATAATCCAAGAAAAAACGATATAGTAATAAAGAATGCATACTGAAATTTAAGCAACAATGTTAAGATCTCTTTAGTAGTTCCAGTGTGTTCTCCGAGTTCCTTATTTTCTGCTTCATCGTACGTAAACTCAAACATCCAAGCTGCAAATAAAAATACCAGAGCCATGATGATGCCAAATGAATAAAACAGCAACCTGTAATCGTTCATAACTCGTCCACAGTACCTATACTCCGTGCTGTCGAGTAACCCGCCAACTGTTAATGAAGCAAACGCAAAACCTAACGATCCAAACAATCGAGTTTTTCCATAATGCCTTCGTTCGTCTCCTAACTTCTGCAGCAAGGCAGCATCGGTCATTATGAAGGTTGGTGCCTCAAGGAACTCTCCGATTACAACTAAAATCAACAAGTAAATAAATACTTGATACACTTCGGTCTGATCATAAACCAAATCGTAGATCTTCGGGTTGGGATGGCCCACTTCAAAATCAGGTTCTTCATGAGAGCTTGGTAGGAAGTACGTTTGAAATGGAGAAATATGAAAAAGTAGTTTTGCGCCACTTGGTCTATTAACTCGCTTAGTGTTCTTGTCAGTGTCGAAATTTCCTCGCATATGGGAGGTTGATTTTGAGTACTCTCTCTGAGCACCAAATTGAATTAACTGCTGCCGTCGACTCACTGACAAGTCAACTTCAGTAGTATTCTCTTTAATGGCTTTGCACTGTGTCTTGTGGGTTGTAGGAATCAAGAGAGCCAAGGTCATTATGAGCCATGAAAAAATTGAGAATAACAAAACTGCTTTCCTGGCCTTGAACCGGTCGGCTAAAATTGCCCAGAAAGGGCCACTAACAAATTGAATAATTGGCCTTATTCCTGCTAGTATTCCAACAGAGCTGGCGCTCAGACCAATCTGCTTGAAATATAGTGCCATATATGGAAACGACGCTCCAAATCCAGCGAAAAATAGGAAATAAAATGCTTTGTAGCATAACAACGTCCTGTCCACTTGAAGTTCTTCTCCGAGCGAATCCTTAAAGCGCTTAGTGGTCTCCCTTTCATGGTCTCCTTTATTTGAACTTTTTTTATCCTCCTTTATCATTTTGTCGTCAAAGAACTCTTTCGTGAGTTGCGTCCGGAACCAATAAATCTCTAGATCAGGTAACTGAATTTACCTGTTCAAACGATCTGTCCCACCAGTGTTAAGATATGGTATCCAAGACAGGATTATTGTGAAACAATTTAACTGGCTTATTGACCACCTGCGGAATTGCTTGTTATTTTCTTCTCCTCCTTTGTTTCTTTTTATCTCACCAAGCAGAATGCAAACGGCGTCAAATAAAATGAGACTAGACTGAATACAGATTACACATTTTCTAAAAATGATCAGCTGTCATAAGAATTATGCATAGACTGGTCATCCATAGAAACGGTAAAAAAACTTTTCTCTGATACAGTTTCAAAGAAAAACAATGACTTCTTCAGTTTTAATGTGCAAGCCTCTACGAGGAACTAAAGTTTACCCGCAAAAAGAAAAAAATTAAAGGACGAGTGGCACTTTGCAGAAGAGGTCTCCTTAGTGTCCCAAGGCTGCTGAAATTATTCGATGAATTCTAATCATGAGTGAAAAGAAGTGGACCCTAACAACTGTTTCATTAGCTACGCAAGAGAAAACTTGTCCAGCAGACAAATTCAGGATTAGAGTAAAAATTATTCCTTTTCAAATTCTTTAAAATCAACCATAATTTTGAATCATGAGCAGGGTTCGTTTTGTCCTCTACTTTAAACACGTTGTTCTGTGTCTTGTACCACACGTCTGTTTATAATTTCTTAACATTTAGCACGTGACCGGCCACATGACCAGCACAGAAAAGTCTGCCACCGGCTGTTTGCTCTTACCACCTGCGCAAGCGAGCAATCCCCGGATGTGGATCAGTTGTACTCTATCTCTCAATAGCCCCCAATGTTTGGGCTGATCTCATAGAAAATGTTAGGAACCGTAGCGTAACTTCTCTGTTCGTTGCTGAACCGTGCTTGATGTAATGGACTTAAAACGTAAAAAGAACGTTAAAGAGCTCGTTGAATTTGCAGACCAAATGAGTACAAACTACAGTCGGTCCACATTTCAGAGACTTCTTAACCAAAGTGATGTCCACCTCGCTCGAGTCGACAAGCCTCTTCTTGTTTTTAAAGCATTCTATTTCTTCTTGTACAGTTCATTGGCGACAACATTCCCGTTTCTGTCATCATACTTTCGACAAATCGGTTTCTCTTCGTATCAAGTTGATGTCCTCGTTAGCATTCGTCCATTTGTACAACTCCTTTTAAGTCCATTGTGGGGAGTTCTTGCTGATCGTTATTTGCCAAAGAAAATGATGCTCCAGTTTTGCACTTTTGTATGGCTTATAGGGACCATTTCATTGGCCTTTGTTGAGCCCACTGGCCAGATGTGCCAGCTGGTTTCTCTCAACGAAACTGACTCGAAAGTTATAAACTCCACTGTGATGCAGACAGGATTCTTCAGGCGAAGACGAGTTAGTGAGTACTTTACAAGACGATCAAAGCTGATTCCTAGGAATCCCATAAACGACTTACGTAGTACCAATGGCTTTGACAGCGTTGAGGTACAGATATCATCTGGTTCGGGATCGCCTCAAGAGAGTGAAGTATCAGGAAGTGGAACCGGAGAGTCATTTGACCATGATAGAGAGCCTAACATTACCAGTAACAACAAGACTCGCAGCATCACCACAATTCCAATTTCTAATCTCAAGTCAAAACCCAAAGAGCCACTCAATCAAATTCAATTCAACTTTACCACAAGGAATGAGCTTAGGGAAAACACTTCTCGGCTCCATCATATATTTGTTGGTGCTTTAGCTCTGGTTGTTTTCGAGGAAATATTCTTATGTCCAGTTTTCTTCATGGCTGATACAGTGTTACTCGCCAAGCAAGTGGAGGAGGATACAGCTGTGTATGGATATCAAAAGCAATTTGGTTCAATAGGCTACCTAATATTTTTCCTCATTACCGGGATCTTAGTCAACAATTCTCAGCGGCAAATGTGCGGGCACATCTACGCCGACTACGTTATCAACTTTTGCTTTTATTGTGTAATTACAATTGTGATATTACTAGTCTTAATCAAGTTCGAGATACCACAAAGGCCAGTTGAAAATTTCCCCAATGAGAGGCTCAAAACTACTTACAACACAAAACATTACGGAACGTTTGCTGCGACCGCGGCTTTCATGGGCTTTTCACATTCAGTGATTTCAAAATTTCACGTCACTTATCTCTCTAAGGCCAAAGGGGGGCATATTACTTCTACAATAATGTTTTTTGGCTTCCTTGGAGAACCCCTTGGCTTTTTCTTGAGTCATAAACTGATACGCCATATGGGGGATATAAATATGATATTCACTGTTCTAGTGTCGTACATGTTTAATCATTTTGCATGCTCCTTTGTAACAAGTTCTTGGCAGCTCATCCCTCTTGGTCTACTGGAAGGATTCACATTTGCCACTTCATTCGTAGTATGTACCACGTATTTGGCGAATTCTTCTCCCCTGGATTGCCTGGCAACCGTACAAGGTGATAGGAAGCACTGTTTTAGCATTGTTTTGAGTTTTCTAAGTTGAACAATTTTAAAACAAGCGGGTCACAACCTGCAAAGGTTGTTTCTAGTGTCTATCACTTAAAACAAGCTTTGCGAGTTAAGCGTGAAAACACTTACGTATTCGCTGAACTAATAACCTTCTTTCTTATTTTCCTGCAGGTGTGTTCCAGAGCATCTACTGGGGTGTCGGTGGAATTCTTGGCCTTGTGTTTGGTGAAAGTCTCACTCGCGTGGCAGGGCCAATTATTGCGTTCCGTGTTTTTACCATGGCAGCTGTCATTTCTATCGTAATATTCACTACGGGCCTGAAACACCTCAATTTCCGACACCGTAATTACTATTCAGTATTGCTTGACACCTTTCACAACTGCGTTGACAGCGAGAAAATACAAAATAAGAACTTAAGCTATACAAATGACACTCGAGCACAAAACCAGTTCAACGGCCAGTTTCAGCAGGCTTCTGTCGGAGTCGCGGAGCCTGAGGCAAGTGATTCACGGACAGAAGACTGGGACAAGTATTACTAATCTGATCAAACCGATTTTGTCCTTATTCAACGGAAAGTCACATAGTCAATTGAATCTCGTTCCTCATGATGTGTGCTTTCATCTCGTCCTCTTTTATCTCTCAGTGTAACAATTAATTTTTAATTATTTTTGAGGCTATACAGCTTGCCACAATCCTGAATCGTTTCATCTATAGCGACATCTTTACTAATAAACGTTGATATTTAGCGCTTAAAGCTTTTATGATTGTGTCACTACATAATTTTAAATAAAAATGTTTTAAAAAGTTAATTTCCATGCGGAGCTCACAGCGACTGCTACTACTGATCTGACAATGACCTTTGCTTGTGCAACTTTGTCTTGAGTAGTATGACCCTCAGCTTAAAGTTTATTGCCATGCAGACCTCCCACATTGAATAAGATATACGTATTGACTGCAAGAGAACACAACTAGCTAGGTGTTTGTATGGTTTCTCTTGATCAATGAAATTGCAAATAAGAGATAATCCTGTTGTTAATATTTTGTAATTAGAACGCTGAATTGAGGTGTTAGGTGTCTTTAGGTAACAGTACAGAAAGTCTTGTTTGTACTACAGAACGGGTCTCAGACTTTTTTGGTGGATCAGTATATTTTATTTAACTATAAACAATTTTACATCGACCATTGTGATTTAATGTTTTCTCATAGAGCTGTGCTTGTGTTTTAAAGTCTTTGAGACTCTGTATCCTCTCAGCAGTTCTTCGGTGTCTTTTGATTCCACTGTAGGAAGGTAAGTATACTTCATCTCAGAGTACTCGGTTGATTCTCGCGTAAACTTGCACTGCGCCAGGCAAAACAGAATACAAACTACAAACGAGGCACAAGCCACACAACGGAATGTTGCCACAGCTCCAATATGATGGATTAAAAACCCGCCTGTTATTGTACCTGAACCTGTTCCCAGTCCCCAGTAAACTCCTTGAAGAATCCCTGTGGACAAACAAGAAAATACACCGATTTAATAAGACCAGGAATACCCTCTGCTCAAATAACATTCGTGGTAGTCGATAGTTTTGGTATTTTTACTTTCCTTCGGTTTTACCTTTAAATTTATAAAATTAGACAAAGGTAGAACAATCAATAAACCCCTACATTTAATCGATATACATCCCGAGCAAAGAATCACAATCAAAATTACAATTAAACTCGAGTAAAATGCTAAAGAAGGTCCACCTTAGCAAGATTAGCTTTCTTACCTTGGATAGTTGTGACTGATTCTGAGGACGCTGCACCCGCCATATATGAAGTGCAAGCCGACCATGAGGCAGCGTACGTACATCCAACCAACATCTCTATTGGTAAAACCCACCATGGGTTTGTGAGCAGCGAGTACATAGTAAATGCAACTCCATATGATATCAGCGCTCCTATCATGATTTTTATCTGTCCAATGGCTTTGATGAGACTTCCAGCCACGAAAAATGTTAATAAATCCAAAGAGCTGCGACAAATAACTGCCACACCCATTAATGTCTTAGTTGCTCCAAGATCTTCAAGAAACCAGTTCAGAAAACTATGGGACATTCCATGACCTACTCCCATGAAGCATGCCGCCATAAGACACGAACCATAGTGAATATTACAAAGAGCTGATAAAACACTTGTTTGTTTAACATCAGTTTCTTTGTATTGAAATTTAAACGTCGTGGATATAAACAATGTCATCACCATTAAGAGAGCAAATACACAAAAACAAATCATGTAATCTGTGTATTGCTCACCACAAACGAGATGACGTGACTTCTCCAAAAGCACTCCGACAAGGAACGAAGACAGCCCGAATCCAAGCGAACCCCATAACCGTTGTTTTCCGTAGTACCGTCGCTCTTCACCAAGGTGTTCCAACAGGGAAGCGTCTGCTAATGTCGTTGACGGAGCCTCGAGAAATTCTCCTACAACAACTAGAACAAGAAGAATGGTAAAAATTCTCTTCAATTCAGAGGAGTTGGTCTTAAGTAAATTAGTCATCCACAGTTTTGACTGTGTATTTCTGGCAGGTTGTGGTGTGTTTTGCATTAATTCTGCTTGAATGGTTTTGCTGAAATCTTTCATCCTGTTTTCTGAGGAATAATCGGAATTGCTGTTTAAAGTGATGATGGTAGAGTTATTTTTGAAAGTAGTTTGGTTACTCTCTTCCATATCAGTTTGGAGATCATGCAATGTCAAATTGTCATTTGTTACAAGAGAAGAGGATGTGAACAAAGCATCTCCAGAACTACTAAAAGAATCATCTGGTGACATTAACTCGTCAGTATTGTTCAGACTATTTAAATTTGAAGGCATTAAGTTATTAGTGTAATTGACTGAATTTAACACTGAAATTCCCGTATGAATCAAAACTTCTGTGTCTGACTTCTCTGACTGACTTTGATGAAGTTTATCGATTTCGTTTGAGACGTTTTTGTGATGAACACGAATCTGGAGTGTTTGAGTAGGAGATCGGTTGAAGGACGTGACAACAGAATCATTACTAGAACGTGTATCATTTCCTTTCTTCTTTGTGTCAAGGGGCTGGCCATTTTCCGTTGTTGTGGTTTTGGAATCAACTCCCATGATCTTTGATAGCTTATCTTTCAACTGTAATAGGCTGTTGCTGATTGCTTTTATGTTTGCTCTATCAACTTGGTTTGCTGAGGTGTTGATGCGATTTGAAAGCCCTGCTTCACTCAGCAACGGTTCAGAGATGCTGTCACTTACTTGTTGTAAATGTTGCGTGGAGTGAATAGTCTTGTGCGGCAAAAATTTGGTCCTATTTCCATTGCTAGAGTTTTCATGATTGCTGAAGCTATCATCACTCGCGTCTTTACCGGATGGGATAAAAATTCTAGAGAATTCAATAACTACGGGTGCATCAGGTTTATTTTGCCTTCTCTTATCAGTCGATGAATTGTTATTTTTCTTTCCCATGTTTCCTACGGGTGACTGGAAATTAGACGTGAGGATTGATCCGTTGATTTCACCTGGTTCTTTATTTCTATATTTATGATTGATGCTGGTATTGAAATGATATTGCCCAGGGCTTTTATATAAATTCTTCGAGGTACGGTTTCTGTTCTCGTTCTTGCTTGGAAAATTCCCTGATTTATCAAAACGCCAAAGGTGCTTTGAGTTAATTGAATGTGTAAGTACCCTTTGGCTGGTGGTTGTTTGTGAAGTCGTATGAACCAGTTTTGCTTTTGACTTTGGACTTCGCTCGCTGTGAAGACGATACATCTCTGTATTGTTTACTAAGTCTTTTGACTCCGTAAAACCCCGAGTGGAGGTCAATGTTTTAAGATACAATATTCCATTATTTGGATCAGCACTGGTCTGCTTGTTACGTTTTTGAAACACAAAGCTGTCGTTTCGCTTATCAAAAGTCCGTTTTAGTCCTTGGGTAGTACTCTCGACCATACTTTGATTCACATGATTTTTGCTAGCATCTGAGAGTGATTTGTTCCTTAAACTTGATTCAAGGCGACCCTTGTTTTGTCCTGCAATATAAATAGGTACAACATCCACGGCCCTTTGGCGGATCAGTTCTGTTTCGTTTGCCTCGTCAAAGTGAGTTTTTTGCCACAAAAGTTCGCGTCGAAAAAACCCAGTCTTAACTCTGGTGTAATTATAAACATGGTTATGTGTATCATTGCCTTGTCGAATCTCACAGATTTCGTTCGTAGGCTCCACAAACGCTAACGTTAATGTCATAATAAGCCAAGACAAAACTGACATGACCAACACGGATTTCCGTTTCCTGTATTTGTCCGCCATGATGGCCCAGAATGGAGCGCTGGCAAATTGAACAATCGGCCGCAAACCGAGGAGCAGACCAACCTGACTAGCTGACAGACCAATCTGACGAAAATACACAGGAAGATATGGAAATATAGAGCCGAAACCACTCAGGAAAAAGAAGTAGAAAGCTTTGTAAACCAAGAGATCACGGTTGATCCGAAACCACGCTCTTTCAGCCATGTCGTAATAAGATGTGTTTCGGTTTATGTCTAAGTGGTTTGTCCTTGGGATCACTTGTTCTTTACAAATAAAGCCGGCATGAATGCGCTTACAAAGCTCCTAACAATATAATATGAGATCATTACTCTTTTTCGGTCGACGCTAAACTTGGTGATTTTCTTGATTCTGTCATTAATTTTGTTCGCATAATTGCCGGGCTATGTTATTTGACGGGTGGCAGGTGGGTTGATCAATTATTTAAAAGTGTGCTAAATCAAGCAGAAATACAGTGATTTGTTTCCTTATTCCTGATCTATACACTGCAAGTGATGGAACGCTGCTTTTTGATCAGTCTTTTAGTCTTATCGGTTGGATTTTCAACTGACGAAGCCTTCTGATTTTGAAGGGGAAAACTGTGTTACAAGAAAACAATTAAAAGTTACCGTAAGGAAGCCTGGGTGACCTGTGTAAAGCTTTGAGGATACTTTTTAAGGCAATTTTATGAGATCACACTATAGAACAGGGATTCAACAATACCCTAACCAAAGTTCAAATATGTTTAAGCTGAGTCATTTTGCAAACAAAAATTTTTCATCTACAAAGATGAGTCAAGCGTAGCTTGGAACACTGGGTGACGACACGTTTGAAGTCTTTCGACTGATTTTAGTAAGGTAAATTATCACGCTGAGTTTGATTGGTCTACAGCCAGATAAGGTTGAGTGGTTACGATGAAATGACATGGTACATTATAGAATAATAAAATAACAATAATAATAATAACAACAATAATAACTAAGTCACCATGCTAAGAATAGCGTTAAACACCGTCATACGCTCTGTTTGATATATATCTTGATAAAAGCTTAGACAACCCTTGCTAGCTTAAAGGAACAAAATAATTATTTGATAAAAATTTTACAAAAATGTAATCTATAATTAAGGCAAGTTACATATTGCAATGTCAAACAAGGAAGCAACTTGTCCTTAGAGATGCAACATTTCTTTACGTAATTTTAGTTACCTTGCCAGTAAAAATAGCAGTATGTCACACAATGTATAAAATGTCACAAATTGAACGACACACTTTGTATCCCAAAAAGTACGTCATACCAAGGGCAAACTTTTCTTTTCCTGTAATGTATATTAAGCAATAGAGTAAAGCACAACACTGAATACTGAAGGAAGGTGAAAATTGAAAAATTCAAATTCAAAAGATTTTTTCCCACACACCTTTTGACTGGATTGACCAAGGCTTCTACGAAAAGGGGATGAAATTATCAACTTAGTTTTGCTTTTTTCCTCTTGTCTATTAAGTAATAATCCGCGCAAGAAGTAGGCACCTCTGAGCCAAAGCTGTCGTCAGCTAACTTACTAATTAAATTAAAATATTGGTTGTTGAAGGCAGGCTCTAACTTGCAATTCATCCTCCAAATATCCTTTCCTATTCACCTTCGAGAAATGCGCGCGGGATTTGCGCCCTAAGACATCGTAGTCGTTGCTGAAATAAATGAGCTACAATCACATTAAAGGTGGTGATCTAGGAAAGGTGGTAAGTTAACAAAACCACTTCCCTAATCTCCCTCCATCTCAGCCTCCCCCCCTCCCTAATGTTACAAAACAAAAAGACAAACCAACAACTCTAAAAACCTTAGAAATGCAACTCGACATATTTGGGTTCAATGACTTTTCTGTACCAACCACCTGCAAATTTTCCAGAACCCATTTATACTTTCTTGTCGAGAAACACGACAAGAAAGTATAAGTTTCGAAACCTTTTGTACAAAGAAGGTTACGAAAACAATAAACTCATCCCCAAGCAAAGAGCCTGTGACGCAGTTCAAGTCCACAGCGGTTTTACCCTATGTAAAAGATGCACCAGAGCCTCTTCGCCGTTGCCCACAACAACAAGGTATTCGCGCAGTCTTCAAGTTCGACGCGACACTTAGATCGCATTTGGTACGACCAAAGGAAACTGTAAATCCACCCAGACAGGAGAGCGTGGTTTACAGGATTCCTTGTGAATGCAGCAAAATCTACATTGGTGAAACGGGAAGACCTATGCCAGAGAGGATGAAAGAACACGAGAGGGATACACGTTTAGTCCGTACCCAGACCTGCACCGTTTCTGAGCACGCCAACAAGACCGGCCACCACCCACTTTGGAACAAAGTAAAAGTTTGTTGATCATGACTCACACTGGTACACCAGAGGAGTTAAGGAAGCTATCCGCATGATACTTCACCCTGATAACATCAACAGGGATAAAGGAATCGAAATTCCTGAAGTGTGGATACCAACGATCAAGAAACACAACGGGAGACCGGTACGACAGCAAACCGCCGAGGGAACAACTTGGAGTCAGACCTCTCGGAAAACCAGAACTCACCGGAACAATGGGGATCGAAATCCACCTATCATCTTAGATCGCCGTGATACAAATGGTAACGCGTGAGCAGTCGACCCCATCGACCAATGAAGACTAGCAGTATGCATTTAAAGTGTAGCGATCTACTTCTCAAGTAACCACATCGTGAGACGAACGATTAAAGAAGTTATTATAACTCAGAGAATTTTGGCGACAACTCTGATGAGTTTGGGGACAACTCAGATTAGTTAGAACCTTTAGTTAGAGGCAAATCAAGAACCCAGTGGTGCTACTGCCAGTCGTTAAAGGAAAAGTACAGAAACACACACTCAAATAAAATATATCAAAGTTCACATGGCAACCAGGTGGACAATCAGACATGGTTTGATGCTACTCTGGTTTGCATATTTAATGAATGTAACCGAAGAACTTACAATTCATAGACCCAACGTCCCGACACTCCCGTCTAGTGCCTTCATCAGGGGTGATCTAAGTGCTGCAACAGGAGGTCCTTTCATACGATCACTAATTAGCCGCCTTTTTTCTGGCAAGGTGTAAATAGGCGTCAGGAAGTAAGCCTCCATCATCACGATTTGAAGGAGCGTGGGCGGAGTTAATATGCCAAGCTTCCAAACAAACACTCCAGCTACAGCTTTCTCTCCCCTCAGCCCCGCCCCCCCCTCAGTGAAAAGGGGAGTCCAACTTAAATTTGGGGAGAAAAACAGTTTAAACCCACCCCGCTCCCTTGTAATTTGTGCAGAGGACTCGCTGATAGCCTTGCCTGTTCATGTACTTGTAGAATCTGACAATACCCACCCTGACGTTTCCCCCCCTCCCTTCCTCAAAACATTTTTTCCAGCTGGGTGTTTTCTCTGTCGTATCTGAAGAGCAGCCCCATCATCAACGGTTTCATAATTGTTGGCTGCATCGCAGGAACCTATGTGCAGCCATTGGTCATTTCCTCATTTTGAAAATTGTGAATCGATTTGGGATAACATTCAATTAAGGACATTGTAGGATGACCTCTTGTGCAACTTTTTGAATGCAGTAAACAGGATTTGCGACAAAATGAATTAATTTGGGACGAATACATAGCAGCATTTCATTAAGGTTTGTAACAAACAAATGAAGAAGCTTGAAATAGTGCATGTACAAAAATAATTTATCTACTGTGCGCCAGAACTTTCCCGGTGTTTATGGACCTTTTCAAAACAATCGTGGCAATTCTTGGCTTCATTTCTCCCCTCTGAATGGATCATATTTTCAGTTTTGTGTCCAAATGATTTCTTTGCGCGAAGACAGAGGGGAAGATTAGTTAGTGATGATGCCTGTTCCTCCCGCCTTCTTGTTGATGTGGATGGCGTGATCTTTGATTGATCTTATTTAAGGAAGTATTTCCGAAATCAGTAACCGCTGACCGACTACCTCTTCCGTGGCTTCGAATGATAATGGAAGACAAGGGCAGAGGTTCTGCCAAGGAAACTGCGAAGGTGAAATTTACGATTCTGCGGAATCAAGTGTATAACTTACTTCGTCAAGGGGTAAGCGATTATTTGGATCAATCAGCTAAAGGACTGTTTAAGTTTGATAACTGTTATATCTTATAAAATATACTCAATGTTGTGAATGGGTTTCTTTTTTCAATACCCATATTTTCGTGCTGGTTAATTTTAGAGGTTTTTCGTTATATTTAAGCAATCCCATAAGGACGCTCAGGACGGAGACTCTACCGAAAACCTGCCTGAAGCTGTGTATAAGGTGTGTAAGAAAAATTCGTCGAAGCTTTAGCTCATCAGTGACTTTACAAATATGTCCACATAAATAATCAGCATAATATACTTATTTTGAAATGATAATAAAAATAATAATAGACAAATTGTCATCAGCTTGAATGGCTTTGTGTTGACCAGGGATGGCAGGGGAAAATTTCAACAACTTTTAATCTTTTGGAAATGTTTCCATTTTATTCGATGAGCGGATGGCTGGGTGCGTGTCAATAGCACTTAATGTCGTCAACCAAGGTCACACTGAAAATATCAATGGAAATATTCTTTGTCTTATGTTTAGGATGGCGTTCAGGAATTTCAGGATGACCCTCGTTCCGATGAAGAGGTGTGTTTTTCATTGAACTGTATATGTTTCCATATTTGAGAGTTTAAAAAGTGATCATCGGCTGTAACGGGAGAAAATGCTTTAAATGAACCACCAATGTTATTATTATAATTGTTGTTGTTGTTTACATTAAATTTCAAATATTTTCACCCTCATTCTCTGATGCTGTCCTTCAGGTATTAGGGGCAATAAAGGACATTTATTTTAAAGATTCCTCATTCGATTCCAGTGATTATGAGCTTCATGTAAGTATTCTGACTAGTCCAATATTTTACTTAGTTCCATGCCTTATATAAACACTCAGGTTGGATTGCTGGCATTCAGTGAGAACTTCGAGTCATTGTTGGTATTGGCAATGTTAATTTAAACAATGAGTCAGGCAGCATAGCTGAGGGTGTTTTGGCTGCCAAAACAAAGAAGTTAGAGAGTTGCAAAAACTAGCAGTAAATGTAGAAGTGGAGAAATCACGAGCCAGAGATCACCTATTTTATAATTGCTGCCCCTTCAGACACCTCTTTAACCATTGTAATTTATCTGACCAATGACAGGAGAGTTTGGCAACCAGCCAAGGGTTCATTCTCCTACCAGTATTTGAACTGTTGATACAGAAACAAATGGTGACTTCCGTTGTTTATTGCCTGAG